GCACTGCGCCGTCCGGCTCCCAAGAGGTGCCAGATACCGTCCGGCTCCCGGTAGTGGTGTGAGGTGGAAGGTTGTTGGAGGTGGTGGTGGTGGAAGGTTGTTGGAGGTGGTGGTGGACGGTTGTTGGAAGGTGGTTGTGGTGGTGGGAGGTCGGGGTGGAAGGTGGTGGACGGCGGTGGAGGAAGGTGGTGGAAGGCGGTGGAAGCCGGTGGAAGGCGGTGGTGGAAGGTGATGGTTGGAGGTGGTGGTGGAAGGTGGTGGTTGGAGGTGGTGGAAGGCGGTGGTGGTGGAAGGTGGTGGAGGTGATGGTTGGAGGTGGTGGAGGGCGGTGGTGGAAAGGGGTTGGAGGTGGTGGAAGGTGGTGGTGGTGGTGGAAGGCGGTGGTGGTGGAGGACGGTGGTGGAAAGGGGTTGGAGGTGGTGGAAGGAGGTTGGGGGTGGTGTTGGAAGGATGTTGAGGGTTGGGGCAAGAAACTGGTTTGGTGCTGTCAACCAGGTAAAAAAAATAAACGAGGAAAAAAAAAAAGTCAAACTATAAAAACGCTGCCCGAGGCAGCGGTTTACCCCAGAAGCTTATTTTTGTAAATACTTTTGCCACGCAATCATTTTTGTAATTACTTTCGTAACGAAACTTAGTTTCCTAAAACGTCCTAGTGGATGGCTAGTTGGTGCACAAGCATCAAGTGTGGTGCGACTTACCGTACAGGGATTGATGAGTGACCCCTTCGATCACTCCTGTCAGCTGCCTATTTAATTTATTTATGTACGAGAGTGAGTAGTCAGTCACTTGTATCATTTCATTTCATTCTTTTTCCTACTTTCTTGCTTTTTAGTTTCCCTTCCCCTTTCTTTACGTTCTTTTTAGGAAATACTTCTCCTTTACTTGACTTTTCTTTTTATAGCCTATTTTATTTTATTTTTACAACCATTTTCTTTTTAATTTATTTAAAATAAGGAAGATTAAGGAAATTACCAAACACTCACATGTTAATTTAATCTATTGTTTATGAGAAATTCAAATCACAAACTTAGGTTTAATAAACTGAGCATAATTATATTCAAGATTTACCTAGCACCGTATATATATATATATATATATATATATATATATATATATATATATATATATATATATTCATGTTAGATTAGACTAATTATTAGGTTAGCATGTTTTATATGTTAATACTACTTCCGTTACAGGTTATGTGCAACGATTGATATAAAGTAGAAAGGGAAAATGTCTAATCGTTGCACATAACATGTAACGGAGGTAGTACATTCTTAAAACATTACTTGGATTTCTCTAGTCTACACATAGACCCTTAATACAAGTAGAAGATTAAATAAGTCATTTTGAAGTTAGTGAACAAATAATAAAAGTGAAAATGATAAGTTATTGGCGATGAGATGGGAAGCATAGTTGCTTAATACTAGCTAGGCGTTGTGGTAGTATCGTGTGGTACTCCATTGTCGATCTCCATATAATATTTGCTTGATTATTACAAGTTGTTAATGATATACAGTATGCTCTCTTCTGTTTTACTCGTAGTAAAAAATTAATATATGCTTTAATTATATTGTTATAAGGGTTGCATATAATACGCTAATGTGAAATTATAATGCGTGATTACGTAAGTTTTTAATAAACATATGAGTATACCGTTTACCTTTAAGGTGCAGGTAGAAAGTAGAATAATCGAAACCATAACATCTTATAATTAGGTTGGTAAAAGAAAAGAAAAAAATTGGGATAGATGTTAGTTCCAAGTTCCAACCGACACCCCACCATATATAATATACACGAAAGAGAAATCAGAAATGAAGCAGCCCACTAGTGTGTCCACGCACGCTCCCCCCACCCGCAAAATAATGAATGACATCAAATAGACACTACCAACTGTTTTGCTAACAAGCTTCTCGTGATCTTATTAAGTCAAGAATCACTTTAACTTGCCCCATTCTTTATGTTCAATTCAAACTTGCCCCACTCTAAATTCCATCAACTTTGTGGACCGACTCTATACGTATAAGTGTACAACGTATCGCATAAATACTTAACGTTATATACTTTCTCCGTTTTTAAATATTTGCTCCACTTTCCTTTTTTACCGTTTTAAATACTTGCTCTATTTCCTCTTTTGGAAAGTTTTTACTACCTCCGTTAAGTATTATGTGCAACTTTGGAGTATAATTTGTGAGATATAAAATATTCCAAAGTTGCACATAATAATTAACGGAGGTAGTATAATATTTAATTCATTTCTCACATTTAGTGGACCCAACGTAATACTCTCTCTCCTCATATTCTCCACTACTTTTGTTTTTTACAATTTTTTATTTTTTCAACTACCCCACTACCTTCATATTTTATTAATTTCTTCAATTTCTCCTAAAACCCCGCGCGTGGAGAAATGGAGCAAGTATTTAAAAACGGAGGGAGTACATTCTTGGTCCCCTTTTGTTTATTATGATGTAATTACTACATAGTATTTTTTTTTTATCGTGCAAGAGTTGATAAGAAAGAAGATTAGTGTAATCAAGAATGGTGAATACGAAAGTGAAGTAAGTATATTATTATAATTATTTATTATATAGGAATAATTTCAAGAAAATGCAATCCAAAGAAAATGCAATATTTGCGTGTAGGGCATCAAATTTGTTAGGGTCAAAAACTAAAAATTCCACCCCGGCCTGTGCTGCACTCCCGCTACCCCACAATATGAGAAAAATGAAGCAACCTGTTAGCAATTAGGTGAAAATTCCAAGTAGTACAACCAATTTATTCCAAAAATTAAATAGAATTCTTTAAACAGATACGGAGTACAAGCAAATTCATGCTAGACGTAAGTAAATATGGAGTAAAGCATACTTCGTATATGTATTGCAATTGTAAAATTTTACTATTGTATAACATATATACGAGCATGACGGTAACAATATTGAAATCAAAACGTATTTTTTTTTCTACCGACTATTACAAGTCAAGTCTAAATTACAAACATCAAAATCAACTTTCCACATTTTGAATTTATTTTTTCTTATATATCCCGTGCATTTTGCACGGGTACACTCTAGTGCGAAGTAATTGAATAATTATTACGGATGTATGCATAGACATCCGTTTGTGTTTAGATTTATAATTTTTTTTTTTTTTTTTTTTTTTATATTTTTGAAAAAATGTACTTTGTATAACATTGATAATTGATGGTGAAAGTATCTTGATAAGGCACATCATCTCATTACGTAAGTGGTATTGTGAGTATACATATTCATGCACCAAGAAAATTGGCTAGAGTGAGAGACTTGCTTTAGATCCCATGATCCCTCCATTTTTTTTTGTTCTTATTAAAAATTGAGAGAGGAACAAATGAAAACTATGAAAGCATTGAAGAATGACAAGAATCCTCATTTTTTATAAAAAGGAATTAAAAAAAAAGGTTTGATTTCAAATATTGAAAAGATAAAATTGAATTTGATACAATTTAAGATTGTAGAAAACATAAATAATTAGAATGTTATTTCAAAATAACCACGAGCAGTATTTAAAACAAACTAAGGTTATCAATATTATTATATACTAAAAGACACACCAATAATGACACATGCCCTGTCCTTATTTTTTTTTAATTGAAAATTTTATTAATTAAAGAAACAAATCATTTACAATTTTTTTTATACATATTCCACATTAATGTAGTAATTATTATATCCAAAATAAAAGATTTTACAACTCTTTCTAAAAAAAATTTAGGCAACTATAAACAAAAATTATATTCTTAAAATAATTTGTAACCTATTTTACAATAAGAGAAAGATTGCCTTTTTTTGTCTACTTTTTTTTAGTCGTATATCAGATGCTTCAATTAAAAAATGCAAATATCAAATCAACCTATCACATAAGTTGTTATTCCTCGACTAACTTATAATAATATTTATCAATCAATAATCTATAAGTACAAATATAACTATAGATCATCGTGCATAGCACGGGATCTAACCTAATTTCTATTAAAAATATACTCGTACAAAGTATATAAAATTAGTAGAAAGATTGGTCGGAATAGAAGATACAGCGGAAAAAAAACAGTTATGACTTTGTGATTTTCTTTTTGACTTAATTTTATTTTATGCTAATGCATTCATATTGTTTTTCCCATAATGTTGCACTTGATATTGTTTCCAAATCTTTGAAGATTTTGTTCACATTATACACCCATTAGGTCATTATGAGCACAAAGGGAAATTATTTAATTAATCTCTATTGACTTTTTTAAAAAATTAACAATTATGTATAAAAGTATCCTTATATCTTTCAAAAAAAAAAAAAAAACTTTATAAAAATCATCTCAATGTGTATACATGAACTTTATTTTATAAAATAATTCTTAATACTTATTCTTAGTACTTACATAGTATAATATACTTGTTAATATCAGAATAAATTAGAAAATTTTAGACCACATTAAATCAGATTTTTTGAAGTTCGCTTGCCTTTTGACATATTTATTTAATTTCACATTTGTAAAAATTATGAAAATAAATACTTGAAAAATGTACGTTGAGACAAATCAACGAGACCTCCCTTGATAATTTTTTTTCTTATACATTGATATACAATTAATGTCAAAGTTTAATTAAGGTCATGTTCACTTCACCTTTAAAAAAAATATATGCAGTAAAAATAATCTCAGTTCAGTAAAATTTTATAAATTTAAAGTAGAAATATAATAGGGAATCAACAAAAATAATTTCAGTTCATTAAAAAAAAATCAGTGTAATCAAAATAATTTCAATTCTTAGAAATAAAGTGAAGTGAATGGGACTATATTAGACAATTCGAATAATCGAAGAAGGAAAATTCTATTCAAACCATATTACAATTAAAAAAAATTCATATCAAACCACCTTAAATTAAATGAAGAAAACATAACCTAAAACCAATTATGGTCAAGGTTTAGTCAAAACTACAAAAGCGTTTATGACAATTAAATTAAAATGGGCGGGACCATATGACACCCATCATGTCTAAACGTTTCTCCATAGCAGCAGTTAATTTCTATGTAAGACAAGAAAATAAAAAACGGATAGTAACTGAAAAAATAGGAAAAATGAAATAAAATTGCACAAATAAAGATTTCATTCAAAAAAAGAGGAGAGAGAAAATTAGATATGGAGCGAATTTGCTTCTTCTCCCTTTCCTCCCGTACTGTGTGTTGTACAACTCGGATTTTCATTTTTTTTTGGCACAAATAAAGCCCACTCCCTCTTCCCTCAACTTTTGCTGCTACATTCTGCTACTGCAGACGACAGTTTTTATTTATAATTATAATTATAATTTATTTATTTATTTATTTGTTCATAAATTTCTTTAACGTTTTGTTCTCTCTTTTTCCCCTGAAATCCTCCCGAAAAATCCAAATGATTCTTTCTCACCCTCCCTAATTTCTCTCTCTTCCGTACTACCTCTCCCTTAATACTTTAAACTACTCCTTACCCACTTCTTAAATCATCCATTTTCATCATCATTCGGTTGGTTTTTTCATTTCAAGGTGAACTTTTTCTTCCTTTTTTTTTCTGGGTTTGTAATGAAATTATTGATTTTGTTTGTGGTTTTTGATGAAATTATGTTGTGGGGTTGTTTTGTTTTGATGTTTTTTAGATGGGTATCTTCTGTTTTCCTGCTTTTTCTCCTTAATCTGATTATGGTTTGATTATTATGATTGTTGGACCATAAATTTTTGATTTATATTGTTTTGCTTTGATTTCATTTTATGATGTTGAGAAATCCTGCAAATTTCGGAAGGAAATTTGTAATTTCATGAATGTCATCAACTTTAGCATAAGTTTGATTAAGTTTGATGTCTTTGAGAATTGTGAGAATGCTTGTGATAAGGGTAATCCTGCTTTTTTCTATATTTCTTGAGGTGTTTATTTTCCTGGATTCTTAGTTTGTTTACTGGTCTTTTTGGTTGATTGATTTTCTGTTGAACTATATGAAGTTATTCATATTTACATTGTTTCATATGATACGTAGTTTTTGAGTTTTACTCATGAATCATGATATATGCTATGCTTTACTCATTTCATGATTCTTAGTTTGTTTACTGGTCTGTTTGGTTGATTGGCTTTTTTGTTGATCTTAATGAAGTTGCTCATATTTACATTGCTCAATATGATACGTAGTTTTTGTTTTGTACTCATGATATATGCTATGCTTTACTCATTTCATGGTGCTTGATTATAAGCACAATCAAAAGGTAGTGTGCAAATGGGTGTCACCGTTTCAAACTGTGTTTCTTTGATGGAAGGGGGGATGGTGGAGGCTGAGAGTTGTTTGACCAGTTCTGTTTTGGGTATTACGGCACATGAATCTGCAAGTAGCTCTTTCTCTTCCATTTGATGTAATGTGTTTGGAATATATCATAAGATGTCCTTAATAATTGAGTATTTGGGTTTTAATACTTGTTTGGATGGATTTGGTGCAGGAGCATGTTTGGAGCTAATGATACAAATCCTATGCTTCCTGTTCATATGGAGAGTGTCAGGATGCCATACAATGCCAATGTAGTGCCGTCAATGCAATTGGATGGTCAGTTTCGTTTAGCTGATTTCTGTTTGCCTGAATGCTTGTTGGTATTCTTTATAATCGGATTACTAATATTTCTTGTTTAGTTAGACTCTTGATATGAGTGGTGAAGCGGTTGGTATTTATGTCTTATTCGTCGACTGAAGATTTGCTTCCTGTTGGTGTTTATGTAGGGACTTGGTTAAGGAGATAGTGGCTTTTGGTAGTTAGCATACTGCCGTTGGGTTAATGCTTGTATATTGATGTGATTTTCGCCCTCTATGCTTGGGTATTGGGAGTCAGTGATTAGTAGTGAGTTGGCTGTTTTTGTCAGTTTGCTTACTTTGGTTGGGGTGTTGGATAATGCTTGACAAGTAACCTTAAAATCACAATTGTCTTGTTGTTGATTGACAAGTTACCTCTAAAGCACAATTATCTTGTTGTTGGTTGATTGACAAGATTGTCACAATTAGTTCAGTATAAGAACAAATTGGTTTTCAGTGTGGTTTTGCTAAGGTTGATGTAGTTGGTTGGAAGACTTGCAACAGCTTTTAATGGTTTTCATCAGTGTCATTTACATTTCACTGTCCTGCTTTAAATTAGATTTGCAGTTTTATGAATAATCCTGTTGTTGTTCTTCTGGTTGCTGCAATATTGGGATTAACACCAGTTTGTTGCATTGATCTATATGGCAGCTCTCTTTGGCTGTAATGATATAATGAACTTGAACATGGCTGGGGACAAGAACTTGTCCTTTGTGAATCTACCTGAGAAAGTAGGAAGGGGTACACCTGTATTCAGCCAGCAGCATAAGCTTCCTGTGACATCCTATGACAATTTTTGCCAGAATGAAGCAGGGCAAGCCAGGAATATGTTGAAGCAATTCCCTGTCTCCACTGGGCTCAAGCTTTCATATGGAGAAGAGGAGCACAATTCTTCCATCACATCTGCTGGTGAAGGCGTAGTTGTTAATCTTTCATCGATGCTGTCCCATAATGATAGTCTGCAAACAGAGCTTGTGCGGCAGAGTGATGAATTTGATCAGTATATCAGGATCCAGGTGCATTTTGCTATTCATTTTGTGTTTATTTAGTGGTTGCCACGTAACATCCTCCCCCCCCCCCCCCCCCCCCCCCCCCACCTCCTCCAGAATAAAATTGTCACATAATCAACTTGGTTGTTATAATATTTAGCTGAACATAATGTATATGTCTGTTGATTGCTGATTATTAGTCAGAGTGGATGGTATACACTATTTTTCTCTGGTTGAACATATTTATAGGCATATGTAGTTAATCAAGCTATGTGCTTCTTTGATTGGATAGTGTTACACAATCAAATTATCAAATGGAAATAATTGATCAGATTTATGGTGTTATTATTGATTGCACAAGTAATAAGTTTTGGCGCTTTAGAAACACGCATGTACAATTTTTTCGTCTGACCATTATTTGTTCAAATAATCTGAGTGTTAGCTCTAAGTTTTTAACTGTTTGCCATCTTGAAAATCACATATAAGTTGGTTTGTACTTCAGGTCAGAAATTATCAGGAACTTGTGTGCTAATTGCTAGGTTTATGTGATTGCATTATATTATGCCTAATCTTGCCATTTAAAACAGGAGGAAAACATCAAGAAGGGCATTGCAGAACTGAAGCATCGGCACACAGTTTCTTTATTGAATGCTCTTGAGAAAGAAGTCAGTCACAAAATACATGAGAAAGATGTCGAGATAGAGAACTTGAACCAGAGAAACAAGGAGTTGATGGAGAAAATTAGGCAGATAGCTTTGGAAGCTCAGTCATGGCACTTGAGAGCAAAACAAAACGAGTCTCTGGTGAATGTCTTAAGGAACAACATCAATCAAGTCGTTCTACAAGGCGCTACCTTGATGAAGGAAGGTTGTGATGAGAATATGGCAGATGACGCTGTTTCTTGCTGTAATCAGAACCTTCAAGATCCATCAGCCAACCATCAAAACCATCTCCCCTCAGTGAAAGAGCTGGTGCATTGCAAAGTATGCAAAAGTAAGGAGGTTTCTGTTTTGTTGTTGCCTTGCCGGCACTTGTGCCTTTGTACAGATTGTGATGTTTTCATTGACGACATTTGCCCTGTTTGTCGAGTGAAAAAAGCAGGAAGCTTACAAGTATACATGTCTTGAAACTGAAAAAATAGACCTGATGAATTTGTTGATTAACCAAGTTATATATATAAAATTCTTGTAGGAATTTTATTTTATAGTCTTCTCATGTTGAATTATGGCGGCCTAAAGTCTTAGTCTAGACCTTCATTTTGAGTGATTTCTGTTGTGCATAAACAAATGATGATATACTTGGGGGTATCATCTTGTGCATTTTTAGGTATAAATACATATATAGTTGCATTGTATTACTAAAAAATGAGTGTCTGATTTGGTTCTAACCATAATTTCTTGCTAGTTGAGATAAATGGGAAAAGGTATATGTTAAACTGAAATGGGAAGATTGAAGTACTTTTAAGCTACTTGTGTGATGGTTCATATTCATGTCAATTGGCATTTTCAAGTTAGTGTTGACTATTGAGAAATAGATTTGCCCTTAATACAACAAATTTAATTCCCAACAAACATGAGACAATTGACAATAGATTATTTTGGGAAGGTTTTACCATTATAGAAATTGTTTGTGCATTATGAATTTTCATATTAGTTTGAAAAAGATAGACAAACCATGATACTCCTATTGATTATGTTACATTTGTTGTTATATTTATACTCAATATAACAACAATTTAACATAATCAATATTGAGTAATATACATGGTACTATTCTAGCATGAAATGAATCATTTTTGTACCACAAACATCGAAAATTATCAATCAAGATATGATTTTAAATGAAACAAGTGTAATTTTTTCATAAATATGGAAATACATTGTCATTAAAGTGTAATAATATTGTAAATTATACAAGTTTTTAGAAAATATATTATTATTATTATATGATATATCAATATGCCACTAGATGTCGTGGTGGAGTCAAGATAAAGCTACATTATAGGCTATACATTACTTATTCAGAATAAAATGATACTTTTGGAGTTGTTTTCAATTAAAGATTAGTTGAGAGTTAGCTCAAATGATCAGAGCTTTCCTTCCGATTCAAGGGGATTTTGAGATCAATTCTCATTTCCTGCCATTGTGGCTCTCAGGGGAAAAAAAAAAGAATAAAATAATACTTGTACAAGCCTATTACATTAAAAAATTCACCTTTTCTTGTAGTCTATAATATCACACGCACACACAAAAAACCCCTCTAAAATCAGCAAAATTCCCTAATTTAAAAGATAACTCGATAACTAATAATCATAATTGCATGTTTAATAATCAAACTTTTTTTTAAACTCCTCCTTTACCCCATTTATTTAACAACATTCAAAGTATTTCTTTTTTTAATCAAAATATCCACTCATTCCTTATTACACACCAAGTCACCAACCCACCAAAAAATCCCATCCAACTCCAAACCAAGAAAAAAGTAGAAGTATATTCCAATTTCCATATTGACAACACCATTCACCAACCCCAACAAAATAGAACCAAATTCATTTTATTCCTTCTTTCCCTCAAAATTAAGTCAAAATCTTACCAAAAATAAATCAATTAATCCCACATAATTTGGACATTACCAAAATTAATTAAATTAAAATTAAAATTAAAATTAAATAAAAATAATATTATTGTCATAATTCATAAATAAAACCACCAATAAAAAAGCAGAATAAACTCAACCATTTTTCATACTCTCTCACTCACTCCTCCTCTTCGGCGGAGCCTCCAACGCTTCTTCTTCATCTTCGTCTTCCCCAAATCTCCCAAAATGCAGAGCTCTGCAATTTCAATCTCACCCTCAATTCCCCACCTTAAACCTCTTCAAAACCCTAATTTTCAAAATCGTCGTCTTTTTTCGATCAATTCCCTCCCAATTCGACCTTCTCTCTCTTCCGCCGCCATTTCAGCTTCACGAAGATTAGCCGTTGTTAGCAGTTTGAGTGATGAGTCGAGTTTTGATCTGAGCCGTCGATCTTCTTCGTCGAGATTTGATGGGTTGGTTTCTTTGCCGTCGTTGAAGGGTAAGAAGCCGTCGGATGAGTTTGTTGTTAAAGCGACGTCGTTGCCTGAGAGTGCTGATGCTGATGAACCTCCTAAAGCTATTTCTCGGACTTTGGAACTTGGGATTTTGTTTGGGCTTTGGTATCTTTTTAATATCTACTTCAATATTTACAATAAGCAGGTTGTTATTTTTCGCCATTTTTGTTCATATTTGTTTACAATATGTTAATTTTTGTTTGATTTTTACGTGATCTTTGTCTAGTATATGCTAAATATATGAAAATTTACATGTATTTTGATTGGCTGATCTATTTATGCTCTTTTATAGAAAAGTTTTATTTTTTTTAAAAAAAACTTAATTAATAAGGAAATTTTAGGTTTGAAGTTGTTGTAATAGAAGGTGAGAAGAAAATGATGTGGAGGTTATAATGTTCTATTGATTTTATTTTCTTGTAATAAAAATTTGGGTAATGGAGTGAAATGGGTATATATGTCAATACAGTGATACTAGATTGATGGGTTGCAAAGCAATTTAGATAGCAATGATGGGTTTTGTTGATAGCAGCATTGTGTTCGGTGCTGCTCCGATGTGTACATCTTGGATTGTTCTTAAGTTTTGAAGCTTCTTGATGATTGCTTAAACCCTGTTTAGGTGTTTGAGTGGTGTTTTCATTTGGGTTTTGAAATGTAGGATTAATGGTTAGTTAATGTTGGTGGGAATTTGAGACTGTGACCGCGCTAGTTTAGAGGGTATCTCCTTTGAATGTATGGATTGTTAATGTGTTATATGGAGTACTTCGTATTGCATTTGGGTATTTGCTGGTGTGGTGGAATTGTGGAAATATTTGGAGTGTTTGAGGATATGGTGGAGCTGTGGAAGTATGTGGCATTTAGAGTGCAGGATAAGGTTATAGTAGAGTAGTGTAGGTGATGTTTCCATTCGCTCCTTTTGCATTAGGTGATCAACTTAGTTTGGTAGTCTGGTTGAAACTTTGGATTTTGGCATCTTTGAAAAATATACAGCATACTGAAAATCAAGTGTTAATGATTAGTTTCGCTTAAATAATATGGATAATAAAAGTATTAAAAAAATGTAGTGAAGTGCTTTGAACTTTTGAAATATGAATCTAATCGTATATATTGTTAAAACTTTTCACTATTTAGAGAAGTTAATGCTCAAAGTCCATCCTTAAAATTATTAGGAGCCTTAATCATGAACTGGGGGTGTATAGTTTAAACTACAACTACCAAGTAGTAATATGGGCTTAATTTACATTAATTCATTTGGAGTACATGTTAGATTGCTTCTTTTCAATGAAATATATTTGTTTGAGACTTTGAGTTAGAGTGCAGGGATGCTCCACTTTGTTCTGCAGATTGTAAGTGGTCTTGTTGTATGTAATGTTAAAAATTCTCTAGTTAGTACATATTTAATGGGGAAATATATTGATCTGAGGTACATTGGTATACAGCAGTGGCTCTCTACTTGCATCAGCTTTTGCTTTAGTAATGTATGCTGTTCTTTCCTACAGGTTCTGAAGGCATTTCATTATCCCGTGACTGTCACATTGATTCAATTTGCTGTTGGGTCAGTGCTCGTTATCTTCATGTGGATGTTTAATCTCTATAAGAAACCAAAAGTTAGCGCTGGGCAGGTAGTTTATCAGTCTGTTTGTAAAGCTATTAAGCTATTCTAGACAACTTTATTTTTGGGCTGTTGTTTTATCATGTTAAATATGTTTTTTTACTGCTTCTCAGCTAGCTGCTATCCTGCCATTGGCAGTTGTACACACCTTGGGCAACCTCTTCACCAACATGAGTTTGGGTAAAGTGGCAGTATCGTTTACTCACACTATCAAAGCTATGGAGCCATTTTTCTCTGTTTTACTGTCTGCTGCCTTTTTGGGAGAGGTATACTTCACGTATTTGTCATTTGTTATTTTTTTACATACATAGAAATGTTGAACTGTGAAAGATTATCTGATGTGTAGGATAATCTACTATTCAGCCAGCAGTTGAAGTCTTTTTATGTTTTCGCTAGTGATTTTGGTTTCTGTGTTGGTTAATTTTCATGATTCTCATTGCAGAATCCGACTCCTTGGGTTGTGCTTTCACTTCTTCCCATTGTTGGAGGGGTGGCTCTTGCATCTGTGACTGAGGCCTCTTTTAACTGGTCAGTGAATTTACTTTCTGACAAGATTTTGTGCTTCCTGGTTCCAAGGGTCCATCTAGATTTTCAGCATGAGTTTTTTCTGAACCATTGTTCAATATGTTTTTGTTATAAAGGGCTGGTTTTTGGAGTGCTATGGCTTCTAATGTCACAAATCAATCCCGTAATGTCCTTAGTAAGAAGGTCATGGTAAAGAAAGAGGTAACTCTCTCTCTCTCTCGGGATTAATTTTTCATCCTTACTGAGAATGCTTCATGATGGGAATTATTGACTTTTTTTCTGTTGCTTGGTGTCAAAGTACTTTTCTTTATTTTGCACAGTTCATGCAACACATTGGTATTCTGATTAATTTTATTTCATTGATGTGTGAGTTAATTTCAATTATTTTCTTTGACAGGAATCAATGGACAATATAACACTCTTCTCTATTATAACAGTTATGTCCTTTATACTTTTAGCCCCAGCGACTATTTTCATGGAAGGTGTCAAATTCACTCCTACATATATAGAAGCTGCAGTAAGTTTATCCTTCTGTATCTTTTCTTTTTGGCCTGTTGGATTTTACAGACTAATCCTTGAAATGTATTTGCTTATATATTTTTCCTGTTGTGGCAGGGATTGAATGTCCAACAATTATACACAAGGTCCTTGTTGGCTGCTCTTTGCTTCCACGCTTACCAACAGGTAATACTCTGTCCACCCCCCTTCCTCCCTGATGTTGTATAACTGTGTTATGCCTTTGCTATTGCAGAATTTTTTCCATATTAAATGTAATGTTCTTATGAGTCTTGAAACGCTTTCAGCATCATATTTATACATTCTGTGTCTTAATCTCATGCAATTGATGATTTGCTGGTTCATGCTTATTGTGTTGACTTTTGTAACTTTTGTTTCTATTTGTGTCAGCAGAATTAGTTTTCATGGTGGAATGTAGATTGTAGGAAATTATAAATTGTTTATAATAGAATATAAGAGTATCTGCTTAGCCGGTCTCCGTATCCCTGTTGCTTTTAATACATGGATGCTATATGTTATTTTCCTTATTTTTACATTCCTGACTGTTGGAAGCTCAATGGGAGGAGGGATATATTCCCATGTTCCTGCCTCTTTGTATATCAGAAACCTTTCATCGTCATGCTCATCCTCCAATCTCCCCACTGTAGTAAATGATTATAAAGAGTGCCACTGCTGCCATTCCCTTCTCCACCTCCGCCTCCAACAATCAACATCCCTTCCCTCCCTTCTTGGTAATTCAAGCCACGTATGTTGGCCTTGGGCCCTTGGCTTCAAAGGGGGCTTAGATGCCAAATTGCAATGCATATTGGTGATGGGAATATAGGGATCTTGCATCAAATGTTTGCTTCCCTTCTGCCCTTTGGTGTTTTGTAATCTAGCTAGTTAGGGTATCTGGTCCTTTGTCTAATTATATGATATTTGGAGAAAAAGAACTTTAGACAGTATACAGAGGATCACTACTTTTTTTTTTGGTCCTCACTATAAAGTGTTCTTTTTATCATGGATGGCAAATGAGGACATTCTTTCATGGAATTTTCTTTGGCAACTTTACAGCCTTGTACTTTTTGGTGAAGATTAATTTTTGTTCTTTGTAAAATTTCGTTTTACTCTGGGGTTAAATAACATGACAGTTGCTTTATTGTCAACTTTGAAATTTCTATGTAATATGTATCACAAGGTCTTTCATCAAGTTCCTGAGAGGTAGGTTTAGCAGGGAAATATTCTGTTAAATCTATAGTCATTGACCGTCCTAATTATTGTAAAAAGGGAGATCTAATTAGTGATTAAATGATAAATGTTGAGTGATCCTCGGGGATAGTTCAATTTGGTTTTTTGGAATTAGGTTTTGAAGCCTAATCTCAATGAGTCTAATTTTATACTTGACAAATTCCCAAGTCTAATCACCCTGCTTTAGAGAGACTATCAGTTGTCTTATGTTGTTTAAGTTTGTCTATTTTTTGTTTGAATCTTTCAGGTTTCTTACATGATATTGCAAAGGGTTTCCCCCGTTACCCATTCCGTTGGTAACTGTGTGAAGAGGGTGGTTGTCATTACCAGCTCCGTGTTATTTTTCAAGACACCAGTTTCACCTATCAATGCTCTGGGTAAAGTTTTGCTTTTGATGTGTTTATCATTGTTTTCTTAGTCTACTTACTTTTATAGCTGATTTCAAAGTCTGTTAGCATCCCTCATTCTTTTTCGCAAGAGGAGAAAAAAAAAAAAAAAAAAACCTTGAGTTATCCTTTGTCCGTTATGTTAATGCGTTGGTTTTCCCCAGTGCTTACATGCTCTGCTTTTATTTTTCTTTACAGGTACTGGAATTGCACTTGCTGGAGTTTTCTTGTATTCCCGGGTAAAGCGCATCAAGGCAAAGCCAAAGACCGCTTAATTTTGACTATTGGGAGTGGCTATTAACTTTGTCTCATACTGTCTTTAGGCAAAGATTTTCGTTTTCTAATTGGAAGGACTAAGTTGTAGGTCAGATTAGGCATTTGAATTTCTTCCTAATATTTTCCATTCAAATGCTTACGAGTTGTGTTTATTCCTTGTTGAGAATTCTTGAAATTTCTTATTGGCAAAATAGTCAATCTTGTAGTTTTTATTATTCATTTGAAAGTAGTTTTGATATGTAGAGTCCAAAGTGTTACACGCTGTTATTAATCGGAATCTATCTATGTTTATTCTTGCTCACTCTTTGCTATTCCTCTATGGAAATTTAACTATGTTGTAATCAAATTTTGATAAATCTATGTATCGTGATCGTGACAATGGAAAACAGACATTGTTATGTTACACTTAGTGCAAATCAACTTCTAATCAGGTCCATTGAAGCTCGTATTAGTTGAAGCCCTGAAGTCAGCACTGGTGTATTTGCATGTAATTTTCTGCTTTATATTCCCATTTTTGTGCTTAGGAATTTATGAAGATCAGTATTGCGTGGGATGATTCTATGGTAGTCATTTTTCAAACGATTAATATAGAATTTTCAGTATTGCGTGTTAGTTTTAAGCCTTCCACTCTTGTTTTAGATTTTTCTATGTTCATCTGGTTGTACCAAGTGCATGGTAGGGATGGTGAAATGTAGGTTATTCTTTCTTGCTCATATGCTAATAGGCGTAATAGCATATAAGGACGAAAACATTAGCATTGGTTGCACCTTGCCAGTTTACGGCGCTCAATAACGAGCTTTGATCTGCTGTCATTAGAGCCTGCTATTTTTCCCTAAAACTGGGGCTATAATCTTTGTTCCCGAAGTTTGTGGCGCTGGTGGCTACTGGCTGGGCATCCAGAGTCTAGACCACATAGGGCATAGCTAGAAGCAGAACGATTTGGGACAGGCTGGTGGTGGTTACGGGCTTACGCTTTTTGGTGCTACAAGCAGTCTGTAAGAGGCAGTCATTAATCAAACTACTACTCCCGTTTCTTATTATAAGCTACAAATGAGTATTTTATGTCTCACCTTTGTTGTATATTAATAAGAAACGGAGGTAGTACAAGAAATAACAAAACCTTAATTTAAGTCTTAGTGATTTTACTCCATATGATGTAAGATTGCAAGACGCTCTTTATTCTAATGTTGAAGTTTGCGAATTAATATTAATATAAAAAAAATTATGAAAATTACTTGATTTATTACTAACTACAAATTTCTTGACATATTCGAATTAATTATTTTTAAAACTTAAAAAATATAACCTAAATGAAAAATGACGCAACTCTTCTGTAATTCAAGTTGTATTTGCTAATGCCTTACAGTATCATTTAGGAAAAGGGAAAAGATTTAGGTATTTAAGTTCATCAATAGGCTACGTAGCACCAAGAGGGATAAGGAAGTTTATCATTTATGACTTTATGAAGCATCTAATTTTGCGTATATCTGTCGTTAACTGGCTAATTATTAATTAGTGCTCCTATCTTGGCTGTGAATGAGGCACTTTGACTCGCTATTAAGTTGAGGAAATAGAGCTTAACAATGTTTTCAAAAAAAAAATGTTTAACTAATTTATTTAACGTAATTAATATGCAATTAGTGCCACATTTTAATCACAGTGTTGACTTATAAATTAATGAGACACTGTGAAGTACTACTACTAACATGGGAAAGGCTAGCTTTAAATAATGGATTTAGTATTCAAGTGTATAATAGTGTGTTGAAACAAATAAAAATTTAATTTTAGTCATTAGGTATAAACGTATTCTTGAGGGAAAGAGTCCTAGAAGTGTTATGGAGTATTTGTTTGTTTTAAGTTTTACTTAACTCTTTTGTGTCAATTTTAAATACCAATGCAATAACTGACATCTTTTAAAAACTTGTGCATAACCTTAAACGATAATTAATAGAACCGAAAAAGGATCTTATACCTAATCTTACCTCATAGAGTGCACAACAATAATCTATAACATATATTATATTAATATTTTTTCAAGACAGCTAAAGTCTTGAACCATATAACAGAAATAACAACCAACAGTTTGCCACACAAAACAACACAGTACAATACCAGTCAAGACTCAAGAGTCAAGACTATCCCTTAATACATGACCATTGTTTGATCCACCAAATTTAGAAAATACTTATAAAAATAAAAGTTTTAATACTCCATCTTAATATAACATAATCACTTCTTTTAGAGACTAACATGATTAATCATCTCCACCAAATCGAACTCCATCTTCACCCCATTTTGCATCATATTTGCAACCAAATGACCCTCAGATTCATCCACAATCTCAGCTAAGCCATGTCCAACACTGCCGCGGTTGTCGCCAGGTGGTGCATAGTCAAGCAGGGAGTCAATGCTACTCTCCTCAAACATCTGAGCATCAAAGTTGAAGTCAGGAACTTCACTGAAGTCATACTCTGGCTGCACCAGCTCACCCAAGCTCGAATTCGAGGACCCGCCAGTTGGATGCTCAGTTGGTGATTCAGTATTAGTTTCCAAGGCAGCAGTAGGAGGATTGGCATAAGAAAGTGGCCTCTTCCTACAACCAGCATTGATTTTCTCAAGAGTTAAGCCTTGGATGTATTCTTGCAACAGATAACTCTGCTTTGGGTTCTTGGACTTGCATTTTCTCTTGGAAAATTGCTTTCTTTTGGTTGCATTCCAATGGTTTTTGATCGAGTTTTCGGTCCTTCCTGGTAGCAGCTTTGCAATTTCAGCCCATTTGTTGCCTATCTCTACATGGGCATTGATCAGGATCCTATCTTCCTCTTCAGTCCAATCGTCTTTCTGTGTAAAATTAATAGTCACGCAGGTTATTTAGAATGTCCAGAAAAAGTTGTCACGTTTTAAAAAAAAATGTTACAGCATATATTTCTGTAAATTTATTTATTTAATTACTTTGTTAACCTTATAGGCTAAACCTAAATCTCTTTGTATATATTGTGAATAATGTTTAATGAGAAGCATGGCAAATATTTCTTTCAACTAGTACATAATAAGTAAAATTAAAGATTTATGATTGTATTTAACTAAAATGTATTCCCTTATCAAGATCGAGTCACATAAAATAAAAGTATGTGAATGGTCCAACTATTATAAAAGGTCGTGTAAAATCATGTCATCATATGGTACAATATTAGATCAATATGGTCATTATTATTTCCCAACATAGGATTATATGATTTTGAGGTGAAAACTATCATGCATGTTTCCTTATCTTGCTAAGTATGGTGAATCAATGTTTATGTCTCTTAGAATGGGTTTATTTGCTTGCTTTAAATGTCAACTTAAAAGTTTGTCAACTTTTGCCATTTAAATTATAGAAGTATTCTATGTCGTTTGTAAGGGCACATATAAATTTGAATAAAATATGTACTTGCATTTTTGTTATTGCTCTTAAGTATGATTTGTCTTTAAAAAATAAGCTTTAGAAGAAAATAAATTGCTTTAAGCTAGCTCAACGAAAATACATGTGGTTGGCAAAACCAGTCAAAAGTCGGCTGTTAGTATTGGAAACTAAAATGCTTTACTTTTTATAATTCGATAATAATCCGTGATAATAATAATAATAAAATCCATAATAATAATAATAATAAAATAATAATAATTCTTAAAAAAATATAGTAATATAAATAATAATAAATATCATCTCGACCTTTTATACCAATTTATTATTGTTTGTTACATTTAACCTTAAGATTTATATCATTCAACGGTCCAAATATGTTTTTATTTTAAGGTAACTTTTATAATTATTTTTCATTAAATGTAATTATGTAAAGGATGACTCGTCATGAATAATATTCTAGTCTTAGGCTATAATAACAATAATGAGGAAAAATGATTCACATTTTATTTTTAATTTTTTTTGTAAAAAAACTTTTGAATTTTCACATTTTATCATCCCTAAGTTGACACTTGGCAGTATTTGAATAATTTTCGGCCTCTAATTGGATTACATGATAATGTGTGAATTTAAAATTTCATGTGAGATCTTGTAAAATTGGCACAATAATGTATATTTTTCATAATATTAATTTTCGTAATTTTTATTTTTTGAAACCATAAATCATTAAACTTGTACATTAACAAATGCGATAAAAAAAAAACGCGTCAACTAAAAAAAGAAGAAGAATGTATAAAAAAATGTTGTTTAATTTGTTATTGTGCTGTTCCATTTAACCTTAAGATCTATATCATTCAACGGTCCAAATTTGTTTTTATTTTAAGGTAACTTTTATAATTATTTTTCATTAAATGTGATTATGTAAGGATGACTCGGCTCATGAATAATATGCTAGTCTTAGGTTGTAATAACAATAATGAGGAAGGATAATTCACATTTTTTTTAATTGTTTTTTGATAAAACTTTTCAATTTTTACATTTTATTATCAGTTGGTTGACACTTGGCAGTATTTGAATAATTTTCGGCCTCTAATTGGATTACATGATAATGTGTGCATTTAAAATTTCATGTGAGATCTTATAAAATTGGCACAATAGTATATTTTTTCATAATATTGATTTTTGTAATTTTTACTTTTTAAAGCCATAAGCGGTTGAACTTGTACATTGTTAGGTGCGATAAAAAAAAACGTGTCAACTAAATAAGAAGAAGAATGTATAAAAAAAATTGTTTAATTTATTATTGTTCTTTTACATTTAACCTTAATATCTATATCATTCAACGGTTCAAATTTGTTTTTATTTTAAGGTAATTTTTATAATTATTTTTCATTAAATGTAATTATGTAAAGGATGACTCGCTCATGAATAATATGCCAGTCTTAGGCTGTAATAACAATAATGAGGAAGGATAATTCACGTTTTTTAAAATTGTTTTTTGATAAAACTTTTCAATTTTTACATTTTATTATCAGTTGGTTCACACTTGGCAGTATTTGAATAATTTTCGACCTCTAATTAGATTACATGATGATGTGTGCATTAAAAAAATTTCATGTGAGATCTTGTAAAAATGGCACAATTTTTATAATATTAATTCATAATTTTTACTTTTTGAAGCCATAAATTGTTGAACTTGTACATTGACAAATGCGATAAAAAAAAAGGTGTCAACTAAAAAAAGAAAAAGAAAGTATAAAAAATATATGGTTTAATTTATTATTGTGCTATTACATTTAACCTTAAGATCTATGTCATTCAACAGTCCAAATTTGTTTTTATTTTAAGGTAACTTTTATAATTATTTTTCATTAAATGTAATTATGTAAAGGATGACTCGGCTCGTTAATAATATGACAGTCTTAGGCTGTAATAACAATATTGAGGAAGGATAGTTCACGTTTTATTTTATTTTATTTTATTTTTTTGTAAAAACTTTTCAATTTTTACATTTTATTATAAATAAGTTGACACTTGGCGGTATTTAAATATTTTTCGGCCTCTAATTGGATTACATGATGAATTGTGCATTTAAAATTTAAAATGTTTTACTAAATACCAAAATGCAAGGTTGAAAACATAGCATGCATGGATTTATTGCATGTATATTCAAACTGTTTTCCTCTTCTATGCTCTATATAGTAAAAAACTTAATTCCCTAAGTTCCCTAGGATACCATTTTTGACATACACTTGCACTTATTTTATATGGGTTTGTAACGTTTGTTGGACTAAATAAAAGGCGACATCTTATGTAGGAGGAAACAAATTTAGCAAAACTTCAAAAAAATAAAATAAAAAATGTAATAAATGATTAATTAATTTCTTGTAAATTTAAATAAATGGTGAGAAATTAATTTACCTTAATATTTGGTTTTAAATGATTATGCCATCTCTCTCTACATTGTTTTCCTACTCTCCCATTGAGCAATTGAGCAATCTGAGACCATTTCCTTACGCCATAGCGGTCCACCAAATCAGTCAAGAGGCTACATTTGCATGCATAAAAAATCATTAAAAATGATAAATTGATAAATAAATAAAATAAAATAAAATTAATACCAAAAAAATGTACAGAGTTTAAAATTCATATTCAATTCGTAAAATAAAACATGTATACGTGCAAAAAATCCAACATAAATTTTATAATGAGAATGATAGAAGTAAATTTTTTTAAATCGAGTACGTATATTTTTATTTTTTTTCCGTAAAAATAATCAAACGTAATTTTTCTTTTTACGATAATCAAAATTAATATATTTTTTTGAAAACAATTTATATATGCTTATAACGATTGAATAAAAAAAAATGCACATTTGTTCAAAATATATACGTGTATAAAAAAAATTGAAAATAATGACAAGGAAAAAAACATGAAATATGTTGATTGCTACTTACTTATCCTCAGCCTTAGTCCATTGGCCCTTGACTGGAGTAGACTTCTTTTTGCGCCCCTTTCCTCCCTTTCTCACCACGGTTGTCGTAGAGAGGCGGTCCGAAACCAAGGTGGTTGTGGTCACCGGAGTTGTGCATGAGTCTTCATCCGAAGGCCGGTAATTTGTTGGCCCTAAATAATCATAGTAACAAAAAGGGTTAAAGCCTTGAGCATTAGGGCTTATCATGTTCATGGGGGTGATAATAGGAGAATGCCCTAAGACACCAATTCCCCCTTCATTTTGATTGAGGTTATCTATGAGAGGAACCAATGCAACATTATTTGTTGCATGATTCACTAAGGGTTTAGTCTCATAGAAATCAAAATTTGGAACACAATCAAATGGAGAATTATCATAGGGTTCCAAACAATTTGGTTGATGAATGGGATAAAAGGTATTTGGGGTTGAGGATGATCCATCATGGAGATCAAAGTTGAGATCAAAAAGGGGGTGAAGACCTTGGAGGAAATTGGTACCACCCTTTGATAACAAAGCACCCTCTAAGGAGAATTGATCATCTCTTGGGTTTGAGTGATTATTTTGAGGTAAGAATAATGAGGGATGAGGAGAAAACTTTTCCCTAAATTTTGCCTCAAAATCCATCAAAGAGGGTGTAAAGGGGTAAGAGGGAGGAAGAGGAGGAGCAAAAAGGAGAAAGTTTGGGTTGGTTTTAAGAGTTGGTTTCTACTATGCTCTTTTTTATTTCTCTCCTTTCAGCTTAAGGCAGAAGATATATAGAGGTGTTTATCTGGTGTGTATTAGGATTGAAGAATTGTGACTGTTGATCTCTAATGCATCCAATGGCTTAGCATGCTTATCAAATGTGAACATTTTGAGATATCAGATGATTCTAAATCACATACAGTGCCTATTGTAATGTGTCACGTGGCAAAAAAATTTTATTTATTTATATTTTAAATATAAACAATTAATTACTTTCTATGTTAATAAATGGGTTAATAATGGTTATTGATGTTATGATCACACTAAGTTTATTTTCCATAGCATTATGGTAATATTGGTCAAACAGAGTCGTTGACGTGATTAATTGCATTATTAAAATGATTAAGGATGAACTTGGTTAATTAAAACCGGCTAATGATAAAATAATATGATCGGTTCATTTTTTTAATATTAAAACATGTACATAATAAGTCTTTTAATATCATATCTACAATGCAAACATAATTTTTGAAAAATATAATTTAATCAAACACAAAAAATATTTTTCGAGAAATTGTAAAAGAAAAATAAAAATCATATAAATGTAACTAAAAAATAGATATATTAAAAAATTTTATTAATACTACTCCGTATTTTATACCAAACTAAGAAATACGGAACTTGTTTAATTACTTAAAGAAAAATAAGTTAATCATAAACAATGTAATTATTAAAGTATTATGATAGTCGTATTTCAATTCACCACTATCAAATTTTTCACCGTGTGGTATGCCTTTGCCTCTTATGGTTACACAGCAACACTAACTACAAATACAGTGCAATTATATTTAATTTGCTTCTCACCTAAAAAAAAAAAAAAAAAAAAAAAAAATGTTAAAACTTTAAAGTGCTTCTATTGCCCGCAATTTCCAAAATCCGAGAAGCAAAATCATTATTTGAGTTAGTGCCACAAAACATAAGGATGGAGATGAGATAAATTACGTATGACATTTAAGTTTTTACTCAAAGAAGTCTTCAAAGCAATTTTTATATAATTACAATATTACCCTTATTTATGCATTTAGTGGAACTTTACAAAGCTCCCTTTTATAGGGTAGGCAATGGAAAGAATAATACAGATTGAAGAAGTAAGCACACAAAATAAAATGGAAATACAAATACAGCACAACTAAAATTTAATAAATAGATGCGTTTTAAATACAAACATAAAGTAATATTTCGAGTTTAATAAATGATTTCTTTTTTCCCATAACAACTTATTTTCTTTTTCTAATGTTTTCTTGTTTCTTTTAAGATTTGAACCTTCTAAAATAGGACGAAAGCTAAATATGGAGTAATAATTTTAGAGACGGTTCAAAGTAAATGTCACTTACAATTAATATAAGCAAGCAAAATGTTAGGAAAAATCAATTACATAGTACAAAATATAAGTATAAAGTTTCCTCAAATATATATATATATATATATATATATATATATATATATATATATATATATATATATATATAAGTTCAAAGTTTACTTTATAGTTAGCAATATAATCTACTTTGAACTAATTAAAAAAATATATATATAAAATTTTAATAAATACTACTCCATAGTAGGTAAAAAAAAAAGTCAAAAATAAAATAAAATTGGTATTACAAAAAAGTGAAAAACATTTGATCAAACCCGTCTCAATCAGCACGCTTAATTATATTAGACAGTTAGACCTTTTAAGTTATATACGTACTTAATAAATTAAAATACTTGTACATGCTTATGTTTGTTGCATGGAGATTTTCCACTTGACTAATATTCTTTCTTTTTATATACTATAACTTAAAAATTGTAGTTAGTTATTCAGTTAAAGTAAAAAAAGCTATCATTATTCTTTCCCATTTTTGGTGTAGGAAAATCCAGCATAATATTGTTTCATAAATGGGGATACAACTCAAGTTTATCGGACATTTTATTCCTACTACGAATAAATATCGAATTTACTAAATTAAGTTGTCAAATTCACGACCACCTTTGTCTTAAGTCAGCAAACATGTTAACAGAAATAATTAATGATCTCATTACATATACTTATTGAATCAAATTTAAAAGAAATTAATTATCTCATTACATATACTTATTGAATCAAATTGTAATGAATGCTTTATTTTTTCTTACGTTACATACTTACAATTTTATGATCTTCAATGCTCTATAAAGTATCAAATATATGACGAATTATCTTTGAATCACTTTCTTTAAATTGTCTTAAACATTATAACATTATTTATAACTTGTTAATGCACAACTTTGAACATATTTATCTTTGTTTTGATTTTTTTATTACTCCATATTATTTATTTATATGGTTTTTTTTTTGGTGCAAATAAAGGTATATATACTGTGGTTATACCTGATGTATATAGAAATTACGCTTTGAACAAAGTTTAGTGATGAATAATGGAAGAGGATTTACGATTTGATTTAGTTGGTCATGGTATTTTTTTTTTTAAATATTGCTGAAAATTAATACTTTCTTTGTTTATAAATAATTGCAACACTTTGATTAGCAGTACACTTGTCAATGCACAAATTTGACCTTACATATTAATATATGCAATACTTATGTATTCACATGTTAAAAATTTTATTTGTGTAGTATAAATTGAAACTAATGCAACATTATATCACATGGTAGCATACTAGCATCTAGTTCTTTATACTCGTAGTTCAAAACTCGTTTATATATGACGTAGAAGACTAGAAGTCATTTAAATTGTTTGCACAAGTATTGAAAAATAGAGGGAGCTGACAACTTTTTTAAAGTTGTCAGTTTGTCACACAAACACACCGTATAACTTGGTTAGATTTGAAGAGGGAAGGAGGGAAAAGTATCAATTTTTCATTATATAAATGTTACATCGGGCAAGGGGAAAGAAGAAGAATAAGAGGGATCCTTTCAAAGCAAAAACAGTCTCAATAACGCCAACTATAAATTAGGTGCAATAAACAATACCACTTTTGACTTATCGCCAAAATAGCACCAAGTTTATCCCATGAGTGTACCATGATTTCTAATAGCCACAACAGCACCAACTATGTCTATTTATAGGGTTGATGGTGCATCATAAAGGTGATGATGTTTACTTTATTATAGTTACCAAAATCCTCACAATATTGAAATAATATTAAAGGAAATACCTTCATTTTTTCTTCCCTATCAACCAAAAAAAATTTAAATTACACACAAGAAATCCTTAACTAATACTCTTTCAAGACACTTATCATATTCAGGAAAGTATGAAAAAATACTATCAGATTGAAATGATAACTACAAGTGTATTTTTAAACCTCATGATCAGAAGTCATAGTTCTAGATACTAGTCAAAGAATATAATATAACCATGAAATATCCACAAAATCTCCATACACCTTTCCAATGAATCAGTGTAAAGAAAATACAATATTTAAGTTGTTGCAAATGAATGCATATACAGAGCATTATGAACACTGTATGGTAAAAGCTTTCTCAGGGTTCTCTGAATCAATTTCTGAATGATGAGGGAAATCATAAGGCATACTTGGAGCAGAAAGACCAGCCTGGTTAAAGACGCGAACCACCTCTTTATACACAACTGCATTGCCTTCGGATGTCAAATGCAACCCATCACTGTCAATGAGAGAAATTACGAAGATCAAATATTACTAGTATATATATTTCAGATATAATTCCTCAAGGAAGAGTAGGAGGTGTAAGCATTGGTAAAAAAAAAAACAAATTCTAATGAAACACAGACCTCAAGTATTTTCTTTGCCAGCCCTCATTTTCTTGCATCTTGGACCATAGATTTATGGAGGGAATACTCAGTTCCTCCGCTAATGTAATACACTGATTTGCATATTTACCTGCTGTTTCATTTGTTCTTTCCGGAATCTTCATTGCCTTTTCACCATACATCGACCTAGCAGAAAAGTACAAGTGCTGCTTTCAGATCCTCATAAACTTACACGGCAGATACATTTGCACAATGTGAGTATAATAAAATTGAAAATAAAATAATAAAATTTGAGCCTAACTGAGGAACAAAAGAAACAAATCGATACACAGTCTGAAGATATACAATATGCCATTTCATCCTGCAAGTTAATGATCAACACACAATACAAGATCAAGCCACTAAAATAAAATATTAGGAAACTTGACGTTATTCTTTCTACTCTTTCTCTCTCCCATAACTTGGATTACTTCGGGTTGGTCACCACACAAAAACTCCCGGGATTGATAAAATAATTAAATAATAGGAAACAGAGGAATGGATTGATAATCCAAAAGACACAATATATTCATAAATTTAGCTTCCTCTTCCTACATAGGGCCATAGAGACATAAATTCTACATCAAAGATGAGTGATTTGAATACAAGCTTCACAAGCATGAGTTAAAACACGAAATTTAAGGCTTGCAAATTCATGAGCTTGAGTTTAACTCAAAAAAAATAAAATAAAATTTTTAAAAAACACTCAAGCTCTACTCATCTCAAATCTCAATATCACCAAACACCCCAGAGAGAAACAATTAAATAAGACTTTAAAAACATGGACTAGAGAGTAAGACAAGAGAGCAAAAACTAGGTAAGTTTTCTATTCCCCTAAGATACGAGGAAAATAAAATACGGCATATGGCCATTTAAAACACACACACACACACACATTGCATTTTAAGAATAACCAGAAGCAGAACAGAGAATATTTTTATTGTCTACCAGTAACCATTATTTGGGATAAAAAGACATTCTAAATTCTAGAGGGCTTATCGCCAAAAAACTTCCTTGGACAAGCAACCATTTTGGAAAAAAAAAAAAAAAAAAACTGTGTATAAGTCTATATCACCTAACTCACAGTCACGACAAGTGAAGGGAAAAAACTTGCAAAGTGTGAGATAATTTATACTAAATGACCTTGCAAGATTTAGTTTGGAAACAATCAAAGAAGCAAGATTAGAAAACAAATTTCCTTATGTCCAAGGTGATGGGTCATACGTAAAGCACGGGTTGTCCCTACTGATAACTATTCTAATATGGCCATTCGGCTAAAGTGAAATGGCTGCATCAAAGGTTAATGTATAGTTTCTGTAATTTCAGCAAACAAGTCTACACCTAGAAAGGAATGAAATACAAGAATCTTCACAAACATCAAGAAGATGAGTAGACTTACTGAGCATATTCCATGCGGCCTTCCTCGTCAACAGGAGGAGGAGTTATAAGCACCACTAACATGTTAGGTGAGCATTTCTGCAATTTATTGAGACTGATTATAGAAGTAGACATTAATAAATCATACATGCTAGTCAGATCAAACAAAGGGAAAATTAAGAAGCAACTTTATGAGAATGTCCTAAACAGTAATGGACATTTGACCTGTGTTGATAATTTCCCAACATGGAGTTACAAGCACTGATTACTCTTTGTAACCTAAAATGATACCTTCTCAGAGGCAAGGATACATTTCTAGTGATAGATGCCACATATCTTAGTACTAAGGAAGATAGCACTATCTCTTCCACACAAATCACTTATGACAATCAAATAAAAAAAAAATTAAAATGCAAGGATGAAAGCTTTCTAAGCAGACAAAAGAAAATGAGACCAACTGACTTGCAACAAATAAATAAGTTCATCAAATTTAGGAGATAAGATAACCTTCAAGTGCAGAACAATTTTTTTAAGGTTCTCCTTGAACTCCTCGATAGGAACATGTTGCCTTTCACTATTCCTCCCAAGCAAAGCCGCATCATTAGCTCCAAAAAAAATGGTGGCAGCAGCAGGAGGACTAGCCAAACCCTGCAGGAATAATGGAGGCAAAAAAATAAAAGATTTTATGGTCATTATGAAGAATTGAAACAAGTTTAAGCTCAATCACAAAGTGTAACCACACCTTCAACCAAAGAGTTGGTTGATTAGGAAGCATTACGTACTTAGGACATAGGAGCCACTTATTTTCCCTCATTTTGAGTACCAACCCCCCCCCCCCCCCCCCGCCCCTCTCCCCTTTCCCTTCCCTCTCAAAATTAGCTTAAGATGAAGTAACACCCAACTTTCACACACATTATTGATTACTCATATTGTTCTATGCTTCTATCTCATCTTAATTCTCATATATCCATGATAAATGCTTTACATCCCAACATGAATTTGAACACCGCAGGACTTCATTTTGGGTCGAAAACATGCAAACTTTACGTAAAAACTCAATGGTAGTCTCACATCTCAACAGAGAGTCAGAGAGCCCAAAACTTATAGACTCATAAGTTGTGTGCTTCAAAAATAGCAAATAACTTAGCATTATGACATACTCTAATGCTCTATACAATTCACATTCTGGTATTTCCAAATGCTCACCAACAAGCTCCTACTTTAAGGAACTGCTACAGTGCTACTTTCCAAAACCACAAGTAAGATGAAATCACTTTTCTTGATGAACCCTAATCTAGATTTCTCATGTAACCATTTTAAATTATACCCTAATCTAAAATACCTATTGACACTTAAAACACTTTCAATTATACCAAAACCCAAAAAAAGGATAAAGGGTTCATCGAAAATAACTCATTAATGTGCAATCCTATCATCCAGACCAATTAACATAACAAAACTCTTTAGGGGTCGTTTGATTGGATCATTTGGAATGAATTGGAATAGAGTTAGAATCCATTCCATCTATTTTTTTGTTTGATTGAGTTTTTAAGTAATGGAATCTTATACCCAAGGGATTCTAACTCCACCCCCATACCCACATCCCCCTCTAAAATTCACAATCCATTCTATTAATGAAAAATACAATCTATTCTATTAATGAAGAATACAATCCATTCCAACATTAAACGAAACAACTTTAGGCTAGTATGAGTTTTAGAATCCATACCTTTCTAGCATGAGATTCCATTCCAATCCCATATATATTGAACCAAACACCCCCTAATTTCTACAAAAAAAAGTCCTAAAGTTCAATTCTTTCACTACATTTACCCTACTCCATAACATGAAAACATAAAATTTAATTTGGGCACATTCAATTGTGTGCAAGTTATAGACGTACCCATCATTTTATTTTTTATACAGTAATTTAACTCTTCCATCATCAATCCTCCACCTTCACCAACTTCCACCATCATTACAATTTACAATTACTCTTTCCTATCAAAATTTCCATTTTTTGGTTTTATTAGGATATTCAAACAAAAACGATCACCATAAAAGATAAAATTAAATATAAATTTTAAAAAATCAAAAATTTAATAGAAACCCAAACTAAATCTGGGTTATGAACATACCAGTGGAAAAATGTGATGCAAGAGAAACAATGCCCATCTAGTGTTGTACCCACCATAGCCTCGATTCAGTATATCGGCCTACAAAGATAATTAATTAAATTAAAATGAGGAAATTTGAAATGTAGAAGAAAATATAGAGAAAATTAACACAGTTAAAAATCAGGGAATTGTGCAAGAAACAAGGAATGATAATGGGGAAGAAAAAAAAAAATTAAAAAAAAAATACCTTGCGAGAGAAATTGTCAGCAAGAGCAGAACCCCAGCCATTAGGAGCGAAGGATTGTTGTGTGATGGAATCCCCAAAGAGTATGATCTGCGGCCTTATTCCCATCATTTTCACTTCACTTTAAGTTTAATGGAACTTCAACACTATTTAATGGAACTTGGATCTCTACCTACAATCTTCTACGTGTGTAATGTAAATGTCAATGCGTTGATTATGGGATTAGGTGTAATTGGTTTGAGCGTTTTTTTTTTTTTTTTTTTTTTTTTTTTTTTTTTTGAAAAATGTTTTGAGTAGAGGCAAGAATATGAAGTGTAAATCAGGATCCGCCAAGGGTGATAACCTTGTTCTAATTAGATTATTTTCCGTTCAGTTAAGTTTCTTCTAACTTCCTTTTCTAATAAAATATTCAGTTCAATTCAGCTCAATTTAGTCAATGAGAACATGGTCTTACATAAACGGATTTATATACACTTATACAGTAAATAAATTTCGAGCAACCACGAGTATTCGATCTTGCTATAAGGTGGGCTACTGTATTATTTGTCCTTTTGACATGAGAAGAAATAAAAGCATTAAAAAAAAATTAGATCACATGGTAATATCGTCATAGATTAACCTAATCGGTAAGAGACCTCTGGAACCGTTGTTGATTGCAGGCATGCAGCACACATAAAAGAATAACCAAATTATTTTAGTTTAGTAAAAATCAATAAATTTAAAAAAGAAAATATAATAGAGAATCAGCCAAAATAATTTCAGTTTAATAAAAATATTTTAAGTTTAGTAAAAATAATTTCATTTCAATAAATAATTCTATTTCTCAACCTTATTTTTGTTGAACTGAAATTATTTAGGTTATTTTTATTAAACTTGTATTGTATTATCTTACTAGATGAAACTAATTCACTTGAGTGACTGAGCATATATGGAAACAAATGTACACATGGTGTATTTTTACTCATTTGATTTTTTTTTTCTCATGTTATAGAGCAGTATTTTAAAAATGAACAAAAATGCCTTGGGTCATGCACCCAAGTATATGCTCCATCTGCCCTATTTTTTGCCTTATTACAATTAATCGAGTCAAATGTTTTTAAATCTTTGTTCGTAAATTCCCATTAATGTATAAGAGATAATATAATCAAGTAGGATAGATTCATCTTATTGTATATTATATTAAAACAGTCTTAAATTTTTTTTACAAGTATAGAAATGGAATTACTTATGTTTTATGACGCGTTTTAAAACTGTAAAATGTCAAACGAGGCGCAAAAAAAAAAAAAGGACAAAGGAAGTACTAAGGCCTAAGGGTTGTTCACATTTACTGAACTGAACTAAACAAAGCTGAAATGAATTATTTCTTAAGAGAAGGAAATTAGGAGTTGGAATTTAACTGATTAGAGCTGAATTGAACTGAAATTATAGTGAAGTGAACCGGGCCTTAACCCCTAAAATTATTTTGTGGTTGAATCTTGTGAAAGGGACTTTTGGGTTTATGCTTAACAACTTAAGTAATATGGATTAATTCTCTTATTATAGAGTGGGCTTTCTTTGTAAGAGGCCTAGAGTGGGAAACCATTTTGTCGAGGATTTCAAAACATTATCGAAGGTACCATTCATTATCTTTGGATTTTTTTTTCAATCAAAATTATGCATTACAATACAACTATTTTGTCTTGATAAAAGTTTAGGTCTCTTGAATGTTAATTTTAGCCAATTCATGTCATTTTATTTGGCGCACCAATTGCTCGAATGAAGACGTTTAAAATTTATACAGAATAAAATCTCAACACATTATAAATAAAAACAATTTTAGCCAAAGGAAGCAAAAATAATTTATCAATGGTGAGTATCCGCTTAAGTTTACTCTCTATAATAAGAGAATTAATCCATATTACTTAAATTGTTAAGCATAAACCCAAAAGTCCCTTTCACAAGATTCAACCACAAAATAATTTTAGGGGTTAAGGCCCGGTTCACTTCAGCATAATTTCAGTTCAATTCAGCTCTAATCAGTTCAGTTCCAACTCCTAATTTCCTTCTCTTAAGAAATATTCATTTCAGCTCTATTTAGTTCAGTTCAGTTTAGCTCAATTCAATAAATGAATTAAGGATAATGAGCAAAATCTTTTCAATGGGACACAATCTAACATGGATAGAGTCAAATTTGCATATCAAGTAAGATATTTCTTGTTCAGATAAAATTTGACCCTTGAGGCCTTGAGTTTAGCCAACTAATTTAGTTGACATCATCTTGCTTAAAAATATGTCAAAATGAGAACATGTTATGGAGGTGACTTATGTAGTACTCCATATTCTTCCAACTAATTTCTATAAATAACACAGTAGATCTTGCATACAACGAGTGTATTTTATATGATAAGCTATGCATCTTTTGTATGCAAACTTCCTCTCTCCCTCCCTCACTTTCACAACGCGTTCCTATTAATTATTGCATGCATTTTGGAATTTGGAGTAGCACACACAAGTTAATTAAACAACACATAAACACAACACATGCCTTTTTCACACGTGCACATCTTGCGCACATGCCAACATGAGAGCACCATTCCCGATACTTTAGGATGCACATTAGGCAAAGACGAAAACTATGAAACCCAATCAACAAGGAAATGGAAATCTAGTAAGATGAACATAGCTTAAAATAAGCAGCAAACCAAAGATAGGGGTTTATCCTACCTCACTCAAAGAATGACAAAAGAAAGACAGTTCACCAAAATAAGCTCAGCAAAGACCCTATAATGTAATATGCGGCTTCCTTAGTGGTTACCAATCTTTGTCACCACATCAGAAAACTATTGAATAAAAAGCAAATTATGGTGGAAGCAATGACATACGATGATACAATCATATTCCACTATTATGTGTTTCAATTGTACGATGACCCCATAATTTATCTTTTTTGTACATGTCAAAATCTTTAAGATTAATGTGACCCCTCTTTAATTATGTGACCCCTCTTATATTAGGTAATGGACCTTTTTGTACGGACCACAATCTTAATCTAAAAATCTTAATATTAATCCTGCATCATAACAGGATTACTGCACTTCAGTACCTAACTACCTACCGAACACCCAAGATGAGTGATGATAATCTTTCCGAGGAAGGGGCTGATGGGAGTAGATTGTAATAACTTTCCCTGCTGGAGAATGCTGTCGCGGCAAAGCAGTGCACAACTGCTGCAACTGGCAAGATCTGGGGAAGTCCAAAAAGTATGAAAGAGACTAATTCAGGTTTCACAAAAATAAAACAAAAATTTGGATAGGATGTACAGTGAGGAAAACTCTACTTCTACATTCAATTGCACTGTAAAAAATATCACAATACAGAAAGAAAACTGGACTTATCTAATTATTGCATGAACATCAGGATGCAGTAGCCACTAGCCAGTAACTATCTAATTTGAAGGAAATCCAGGACCAGTCATTTACTGGCATCACCAAAATACAGATTCATGTATCACTCATACTAGATGATGATAATCTATATGTCAAATCATGGATATTTCAACCAACTACCCTGTATTTATTGGGATCATGTCAATATTATATCAAATACGAGTATAAAACTGAAGGAACTATTGCCACATATACTCAGTACAAATCATACGTTCATACTCCTAGGTGTACCTGCACCCAAGGTGGTGTGTGGCATGCAATTGCACGCGTTGCACATGACGTGTGGGCATATGCCGCTAGTGTACCTATCCTTAAGGTATAACAAGGTGTCCAGGTTCATGCAGAAATTTGTGTTACAGCTATTTTGATCACTACAATATGAAATCAATCATTCTAAGGTGAAGACAACTACATCATTCACAAGAGAAGTTTACATTTGTAAAATTGTAATCATGTAAGTATCAATAAAACAAACCAACCTAACAGAATATAAAAATATCAGGTCAGAAGAGAAAGAAACTATCAGCACATAGCTAACAAGATCAGGTAGGTGACAGATGCAGTGCATAGATATATTCCATAACATTTGTCCTTTGCTTGTAATCATAGAAGGCTATGTAGGGCAATTTGTACACCCTACTCTCATACCTGGTTGAAAAGTTTCCCATGGTGTAGCTCATAGCCATTATTGGATAAATCATTCAGCAACTTGAAGATGTTTCGCCTTCCCGAGCACTCACTACAAAAGGGAACACATAGTCTTTGAGAAAAGATCAAAAAAGCATGAAACAAAACAGACAGGTGATGAGTAACGAGGCCAACTGATAAGACATGAACAGATTAGGACACGTATAGGACAATTATTAATCAGACTCACTAACTAGCATAACAACTTGCAAATTCCATGATGATGTTCTGAGTTTCGGGCTCCAAATGTTGTCTCCACGACTCCACCTGGAATTTCTCATTTGTCTGATCACCGATTATGGAATTCATAAGAGTTCAGATAATTTCAGTAACAGCAATCAGCAACAGAAAGTACCAATGATTAATTACCTGAAATGCAAGTACTGAGCTCATCAGGGCATTTTACCTAACACAAGGAATCAGGTCATATGATCATATTCTTAGACTGCTGCATTTTTTAAATCATGGATATGAGAGTAACAATTTAGATATTCAATCAAATCTTTAGATAAATTTAACATATCTGATAGAAGATATAGTAGAAGCTAATATTTTATTACAGCATCTTCTATCATATCTTCTATCATTATCAATGCTGCTTACAGAGTTTCCAGACAAGAGATCATGTTTTTCTTTACATGATTACATCACAGGAAATCTTTTTAAGAAGTGCTTCTAGTAATACACAATGCATATTTGCGCATTAAAAAATGATAGGCAGCAATTCTGATCTGTCATTCTGTGATATGTTATGCTAAAACAATGGTCGGAATTTTTGTAATGCAACTACCACTCTCATTCTTCAATTCAATCTTAGCCAAACAAAAAAACGTAGGAATTCAGAATTCTTAGTAGAGGTAATTTTGATAATTGCTTCTTCATTATCATAATATTGACTATCCATCATCCTTTTGACACAACATTACAATAGACAATCTACACAAAATGATTGGTTAGAATCAGAACTACAAGCACAAAACATAAATGTATATCTATATTTAATAGGCCTCTCGAGCACTTTCACAAACAGCTATATTATCAAGGGAAATAGACTTCTTAGCTTGAAGATGAAGCATGACCATTCCTTCCAAGTGTTGAAGGTCGAGAACTGGGAATTTCCATTATCTCAACCCCTTCTGGGCTCATTCCAGGACTTTTCCCCTTCCTTGGTTCAGTGATTCGAGGACTGTATACTCTATGAGACAACCCTGGGCTAGAAGCATGCCTTAAGTTCTCTTGAGAAACTGGGGTAGAACTGCTTAACTTTGGACTTTGAATGTGGCGGATTTCACCTCTGCTCCTTGTCATAATATCGTCAAGGAATTCTCCTGATTCCATTTTAGTCACAGAAGCCTGGGGATCTTGATCCTATGCAGATAGTAATTAGCAAGCAGAACATAACTGGTTATCTAATTAGGCTGAAGAGAAAATCAGGTAGAAGGATTGGAAGAGCTTACTTCAAATGACATTTTGTAGGAAATGGCAGGTGCCTCTTCGTATTCAGCTGCATCCAAATCCTGAAGATGGGCTCCCTTGAAAAATCTAGGCAATACATACTGTCTTACTGGGACAAGTAGCATAATCAACAAGGGAAAAAGAACTCCTGCTATTGGGATCCATGTTATGCCAAAACACAGCAACAAGTATACAGTCTGAAAAATTGTAAAGAGTGCAATTGTTTTGAAGGGAACTGTCTCGATGAAGGTTGCATGCTGCTCATCAAGCAATCTGGAAAATGTCAACAAGAAATAAATGTAAGATAGCAAGGATAATGAGACACTCTGCATGAAAGTTGGAAGTTAGAAGTGCATACTTATATCGTCGACCAGGAGCAGTGAAGAGTAACAATATTCTATCCCAACACTGATTTCCAGGTAAGCTTTCAATGGCCATGAAAGCAAAGTATCCCCAAAGAACTGCTGTGGGGATTCTCTTTATGACAGGCATAGCTGCTACACAGCCACCAACCATTACAGCTTGAAGCAAATTGCTGAGGCGTTGCTCTTTTACTTCAATGGGTAAAAGGTCATCTACGTCCTTGTCTACATCAAAAACAGTTTCATCAACTGGTGTGTCAATGCTGCCACCCTCTGAGAACTTCTGTACTGTTGATTCTTTCAACTCCTTAAGCCCCTGTTAGGAATTCTGAGTTCAACATAAAGGAAGCAACACTATAATCATTGTTATTACTAATTAACAGATTTAGGTCAGCTAGTTTACCAGAGAAGATGGTATCTGATAGACAAGAGGTGTCTGCATATCCTGGTAAGCGTCTTGCATGTTTCTGTATAACTGACCCAAGTTTGAATTCTTCTGTATGCTATCTCTTGCTGCTGCTACAAGCTTGTTCCTTAAAAGCTGTTTCAAAAGCCAGTAAATCATCTTAGAACTGCATTTCATATACGTAGTAAACAGGTTTCAAAAATGTTTGTGGTAGTTTAACTATTAGCCAAGTTAGAGCGAATGATACCCGGTGTTTGAGAGTAGCCAAGCTTCTTGTATGCATGGGAGATTGAGGAATAACTCCATTTGAGGGGGGAATACCAATAAGACCACAGAATATGACCTGTGGAAGGTCGATTAGACAAATAATATTAAGCTTTATAAAACTTTAAACCAAAGTAGACAATTAAATTTTGCTTCAAACATCATAAGGATATTAGTTCAATCTTGGGATAGAATGCTTACCAGAAAACCAAGGAGAAGGAGATCATAATGATAGGAGGAAGGTTTCTTCAGGTTAAACTCCTTTTGTTGAGCCAGTTGAGAAGCAACACTATGATCGAAATAATAGAGGACAGCAATCATGGTGGCTGGGATAAATGCTCCAACAATGTACAATGCAGGCACTTCCAGCATTTCCTGAAAGACAAGAAAGATGTACTTCTTACAAGGATCTGCAGCAAGGAAGCATAGATAAAACTGTGTCTTCATTCCGAAGCAAACACACTTTTATCATCTCTTCTATAAAATACAAGATGCAACACGCTATAAACACCTTGATGACAGTCCAATTTGAATAAGCACCAGGAGACCATGGATTTGGACTGAAAAGACGCCTAGGAATCCCATCCGGAACATTATGAGTTGGTATGTACGATATAGCAGTCCATACCAGCACCATAAGTGGTACACCATAATCAGCGATTAACCCTCGTAACCAACCTGCTCATTTTGAATCAAGCAAAGATGTAAATGACCTAATAGAACTGAAGTACGAACAAAATTCAATGTTATTCTGCATATAGCAGAAAACACCCAGCAGCAGCAGATCTAGTAACTAATGCAGGTAGACACTGGCAGTGAGAAATGTTAAACTACAACCAACAGTGAGGTTGGACATAGGAGAATAACTTACCGTGGCAGAAAAGTTTAATATTACGTCAAAGTACAATTTACATTCAGCAAACTTAAAACACCCTTTTCTATCCATGGGATCAAGAATAGAGATCCAAAAAATGAATGTATACCTGCACCATAGCGCCATGATCTAGCTTTACGACTTTTTAGTGCAGTTAATAGAAGGCCAAATGACAGAACCAACGCAAACATTCCATTGCCAAAGCGCCAAGAAGGAAGAAATGCAGTCTGATTAGGATTTTCCCTATCAGGTATACGGAACTCTTCCACCGCTCCCTACAATGAAAAGTTTGGTCAAGATCAACAAAGGTGCTTCTTCCAATTAAAGATATGTGGGTTTTGTTTCAAAGCTGTCCTAGAAAAGTCAGAAAGGATCTGTACAGCATTGAACATGTCACAATGTAGAAATTCTGACAGAAAGCATTTTTATACACTTTAGATTGATGATGCTCTTAAAAAATCAATAAGAAGATATTACAAGCATATCATACTCACACGAATTGCCTGCTGCATGAAGAGCATTGCTATAAGCAGGCCGAACAGCTCACCGGCTATGCGTGTAAATCTATTGATGATAGAGCATGCTCCCAACACAGCCAACAAGAAAAGCAGAAAGGCTGTCCATACACAAACCCTGCATGCACAAATACAGACATTTGACAATAATTCAGCAAAGCTCTTCTCATATACTCCATATATTGTAGTTGAGCCTTCCAAACTACCTACCAGGCGGTCCAAGCCAAGTAAAGCTTGTGTCCCAATTCTGTCCTCTCCTTGGCAAAGTTGTACATAAATGTATACATAATAACTGTTGGTTCAGCAACGCCTAGAATAAGCAACGGTTGTCCTCCAATGATTGAATGGATGATGCCACATATTGCTGTTGATGCTAGAGTATGAACTGCTGTCAAAGATCCATCTGCAATAGTAATTGAACAAATCATGTCATTTTAAAGCTTGATTGACACAGCATCAATAAGGAATGTATTTGTTCCGCGGATAACTTAACAGTATGCCAGTACCAGTAGTTCTTTCCAGCTGTTCCCCAAAAGATATGACTGGAATTGAGGAAGCAAAGAAAACATAAGTTGTTGGAGCTAAAATCCTGAACCAAGAACATGGGCAGAGTGAATATAAGCTTCCTATTGAATTATAACTAGCATGTCTTTGATAAGTAGTATTACTCAGACACCCCCTAGTTGGAAAGGACTATCAAATTCAAAAGCTCAAATAAAATGGCACAAGATCAGTAACTAATGGCAAAGAATGGTGTTACAAACCTAATTCCAGCACGAAGTCCCCCAGTCCAATCTTGCTTGTAGCAAAGAAGTCTTGCTTTAAGATCATTTTTAATTCCGCGAAAGGGAACAAAAGTTTCTTCCATGATTGATCAATCACGTCTACAAGCCCCCCCTCCTTCTAAGGGTATACTATAATATCCCAACTAGAACAAGGACACTTAAAAAAGGACTAAACTCACTCAAAAATATGGAAGTGACTCGAGAGGCAAAAGAATAATCAAGTTTCCATAAGAAGAGATAGGCCAAAGATTATTATGGATAGAAAGCTAATGGTAGGTGATCATTAATCAAGAAGCAAAATATTTGATTCATCTTGCTCATTGGATGTGGTATAATGGTGAACTTTACATCTTAATGAACCTAAACCTATGCTCAAAATAGATTTGATTAGTTGATATACAGCTAAAAATGAATGAAAGAATAGTACTTGATCAAATTGATTTAAGAGCAAACAAGTATCTATTACTTACTTGAGCTCCATAACTATGTAAACAAAGATGACTAACGAGTCGAATCCATAGATATACAAGAGAGAAATTTAGCGGAATAGACCAGCAAATTCCATCAACTAATATACCAACTAGCGGCTAACTGCAACAGATTTCAGATTCATTCTAAAACTGATACTGAAAAATCATCCACAGAAAGCCCTCATCAACAACCACCCACCAAAAAACCACTCAAAACACAAACAATCAATTACATAATCAAGCTTAATACACTCAATAACACTGCCTCAAGTTCAAGAACACGAGTTTATAGGCAACAAATTTAACGAAACCCCATCATCTCAAACTCAATTAAGAATGGATTATGACAGCTTTGAACAAATGAGCATCCCACAAACGAAATGACAACTCATAAAAGAGAAATTAGCGAAACCCCATGACTGAAAAACAGCAAAAAGGCTGATTCTAAAGCTGAATAAGGCAAATGGGCATCACTCAGAATCAACTCTAAAGTAAAAGTTTAGCGAAAACCCATGATTATAAACTGCAGAAAGAGTACTCTAGAACAAGTTCAGGCAAATGGGCATCACCTAAACAGATGAAAGACAACTAAGAAATCAAATTTAGCGAAAACCCATGATTATAAACTGCAGAAAGAATGTTCTAGAACAAAATTAAGGGCAAATGGGCATCATCAAAAACAATCACAAAACGATAAATTAGCGAGAACCCATGTACGGAAACTGTATAAAGAAATGATTTTGAAGATAATTTGGCAACTGGGTACTAAAATTGAAGCAGAAAAATAACAATTGACTGCAGAAAATGTAAAAACTGACAAATTAGAAACGGCAATGAAGGCAGAAAAGAACAGGGTAACACAGCTAATGCAGGCAATAAATGAGCAGAAAGTGAGAGTGAAAGAGAGAGAGAATTGAGGGAAATGAAATGGGGATGTTTGTGTTTGTGGTGAGAGAAATAATGTGAGCATAAATAAGCAAAGAATTTGAAAGAGTTGGGACTTTGAAATTGAGTTTGAGAAAAAATTAAAAAGAGGGGCCAAATTAAACGCAAGCTTATTAGGCGGGGAGAGAGACTGATTGAATTATTAAATCAAAGAGTAAGCATAACACAAAATGAACGCACAACCAATGTGACATCCACTTATTTTTTTTATCATTTTCTGTAGGTTTTAGGCTTTTGTGTGTAGCCTTTCTAATCACTTTGCTGAATCATTAAAGTTTTTAAAATGATGATTGTCTTTTCAGTACTAAAACATTGTCCTTGTTTGCTAGGTATAAAAGGCTTTTTATTGTGAATCGGGTCCGTACGATATTTAATTGATACTCGTATTACTCTAATAAATATGATATTATTTGACACTAGTGAGAATTGAAGGGGGAAACGACATTTACAGAGTTATGGATAACCATTTAATAAGTGTTTAACATCAACCTATGATTTTATTGTATGCGAAGTTTTGTCAATATGTCTATTAATCACCTATCGTACTCGCATAGTTCTAGTAAGATCAATGCATTTGTAGATATAATTGCATTCAATTCATAGTTCACATATGTTTATAATTTAACCTAGAAGGCTTGGTAGATTTAGTAGATTTAGTGGGGAACTTTTCTTGTGATTTTGTGATCACAAGTTTGAACCCGCTAATTACATTTACTTGAGAGCAGGTAGGCCAGATCACATTGAGCCCAGCCTGCGGACTCGGTCCGATTCTGGGCAAAATTTTCCAGCCTGGATTTTTAAAAAATTTGGGTTGGCTTGGGAAAGCAATTTTATGCATTTTTAGTTGATTTTTTTTTGCCCGACCCGAAAGCCTGCATGATCCGGCTAGTAAGGGCACATATTTTTCGCCCGAAACTTGGCCCGGTCCGAGGGATGGCTAATTTTTTTGCCTTGGCTCGACCCGCCAGTGATCACCTCTAAGAGTAGAGGGATTTCCCTAGAGGTGACCAATGGGCGGTTCGGGCCGGACCAAGGTCAATAAAATATTAAAATTTGCCCATTCAACGGGTCGGGCAACTTTCGGGCCGGAAAATGTGTGCCAAACCCGCCCAAACTAGGCGGCCCATGCGGGCTTTCGGGTCGGGCCAAAAAATCAACTAAAATTGCATAAAATCGATTTCCCAAGCCCGCCACGGCCCCAAAACCGGCCCAGGTCAGGTCCGACCCGATTTCGAGCCGAAAAAAACTGCCCAAAACTGGGTCGGCCTTAACTTGATCAGGTCTAGATTTCCCTACTATCTCCTTTACTCTCAAACATTGATCAAATTGTAACATAACTAAGCTAGCTTAACATGTGAGAGGTGTTGGTGTAATAAGATTATTCATCTTTCGGTCTAACAAAAAAATCACAGATGTTTATTATTAAGAGTTCGTACAATATACCACCCTAGTATTGAGTTTGGGGGGCGGCCAAAGGGTGGGGGATATGCTTATGCGAGTTAGTAGTATTCTTATAGTTTAAAATTCCCAAAGTAAGTAACGGCTACCCACTCCAATCAAACTAAACACCGTACTTATTATAAAATATTATCACATTAAAACAAATATATGATGCAAGTACTTGGATGCCTCATGCAAAACTATCTACTTTCTAACTTTCGATTTCTTATGTTCTCGTTTAATATTGTTTAATGATAATGTACTCTCTTTAATTATAAGTTGATTTTAACATAATACAAATAACAGCCTAGCTTAGATAATAGTTAGTTAGATACGTTTATACACTTCAAACCAACTTATCTTATTACATTGTCCTTGTCTTTCTCCACCTCCTTCTCTTTCTTTAATTTGCTTATGGGGTTATTTAATTAAGGTCAAATTATGACCATGCATCTTTGTTTTAAAATAGCAATTCCGTTGTCGATATATCATTGGATGTTCAAGGTTTTGTTCCCCTCGATTTATTTTTGTTGAACTTAGCTTATTTTGGTTAAAGAACGAAAAAAATAGACTTGATCAAATAATGAGTTGGATTTGTTCCAAACTCGTTAATAGGCTTAAAAACCATACTATTCCAACCAATAAATTGATGACTAGCTCTTACTAATTAAAACTCTATTGTTTTACCGCTCATACACTCGCAAGGTAAAAATAATCTAGATTGCATACCACACATCCAATTTAAATATAAAGTTTGTCTTCTAATTAAGATAGTCAAGGCTCTTTTTAGGCCTTTTGGCCGCTCAATCGCTCATACACTCTACAAGATACATGTAAAAGGGTAATAAAATACCCTAGAATTGTTCAACGCACAACCGATTGTATTCTAATACGAAGTATTAAGATTGGCCGCTCATATACTTACAAGGTAAGGTAGATGTAAACGGGTAAAAAAAAATCTAAACTTACACAACACACAATCGATAGATTATAAATAATACGTAGTATTATTAAGATTGTCTTCGAATATACTCTGTATATACTACATATAAATATAAATTAGGTTGTTTATGTCACAAAGGATTATTAATTATACTACATAGGACATATGGACCCAAAAAAATGCATAAAGAGAGACTTATGCAAGTTGAATTCTTTTTCTTTTTGTCAAAAAAAAAAAAAAAAAAATCTTTTTCTTATCTACAAAAAATATCACGTCATCGAAGTATAAGTATGAAGACAGTTGCATGAAGATAAGATTGACAAAAACATGTACTCCGTACACGAATTAACACAATGCGCACATTTATCAATGGCATAGTTTAGTACGTCTTTCAAAATTCGCAACTCAAAATCTAGCTAAACCTCGATAAAGAAACCTCTAAAGATAAAAGATTTTTTTTTGGAATTGTTTAAGATGTAGTAAACTCTTTTTTACTCCATGACTTTTAAGTGCTTGAATTTATTTATATGTATCTCAATGTTGTTTAATCATAAAATATGAATTTCTTTAGTAATTAGGGCATGTTCACTCCAGCTTAATTTCAATTTACTTCAACTCCAATTAGTTCAGTTTAGTTCAACTTCTAATTTTCTTATCTCATAAAATATTTATTTCACTTCAACTCCAATCGATTCAGTTCAGTTCATTTCATTAAATGTAAACAGGCCCATACTTCGTACTAAAAAAAATAAACGTGGGAATTTGGTATGGTGATGAACAACCAATCCTGTTTTGTTTGGTAGCTGATTATATATAATAGTAATAGCAATGAATTAGAATGTGAATTTGGAAGAACATTAATGATCATTCCTATTAATTATTACTCAAGATGACCCCTAACTTTGTCTAGCTTTCTTCATAAATTTTCATCTCCACTACCTCTCAAGTGGTAATGAATGATAATGGAACAATAATGAAGAAAATGCAAGCTCGGGGATGAAATTGTGCTCCCATAGCCTGATAACCCCATAGAGATTATATAGTTTGCTTCAATTTCCATATATCATATACGCAATACTAAATTGTATTTAAAATTTATTCCCTTTATCGAAATATATTATCAGCTACCAAATAGACAGGTAATACGTACAGTTGAGAATATGTTATCTTCACCTTATATAAGGTATTGTGATCTAACTTCATAAAGGTTCATCAATGTACTACTCCATTCCAATTTTATTTTTGTTTGGTATGGTTTGGATTTTTTTTATCGATCCAATATGATTCATATGACCGGCAGGATTAATTCATCTAAAATGAATATATATTTCTGATTCCGTCTGATTCAACTAACTTTAAATTAGCTGACCTATTCTATTATAACATGGTCTTATACTATAATTCTAACAAGCATAAGCAATAAGAACAAGACAAGACCACAAAGCCAAAACCATGGTCCAATATCATGACAAATAAAGAACGTCAAGTACCTATTTACATCTCCCCTTTCTTAAAGAGGATTTAATTAAATTCAAGTATACATGCATAATAATCAAGCTTATGTAAGTCCGATGGGCAAAGTGAATAGTTTATGCCAAATTAATTAAATAAATTGGTGCTATAACTATAAGTGGGAAACAATAAAGGCCATAAGCTTGTTGGTAGTTTTTGGAGGTACATATAACAAATTGACATGATAATGATTTATGAATTGAATTAAATGAAACCTAATATTCTCATCTTCATCAACTTGTACTATAATAGTGGATTACCTTAGCTTAGTTTATCTTCAAGATAAGAGGACTAAAAGTGTATTGGTGCAAATCCCATCTAACCATCTAATCAAATTATAAAGAGCATGATAAACATTAAGCCCATGCAATTTCATCTAATAATTGATATTATGCATGAACCTAAACTTTTATGATGCATATATAAGACAAACCAACTACTTACATTGAGGTTCTTCTAATCTTCTTACATCATTCTTGTTTTTTTTTTTTTTTTTTTTTTTTTTGTTGGTTCCATACCTTATTGTTTATTACGTGAGTATACATCTATACTCTTAAATATAGTATGAAGTAGTTCTTTAATTCCACAAATATTGCACCATAGATGAGGGGACAAGAAACTTGATAGGAAACGGAGCGAGGCAAAATGACAAAAGTGTTCTTGTCTTCACAAAGAATTACTCTAATTAAAACGAAGTAAGTATATGTGCAACAAATTATATGCAAGTGAAGTGGGGACACTTCGTGTAGTACACAACTTTACATGTGTTTAATTAAGGGCATATTAGTAAATGTATAAGGCAAAAGCTTCATAAAAAGGAAATGGTTATAAATATGATATGAAATACTTCCTAAAAAGGTTAACAATACTTGAAATATTTGTGTAGCGAAATAATTAATTTTTTAATTAAATGGTTAGGACTGTCAATGTATCTATAGGTGATCATAGATCAAGCTTGACAAATACGTGGTACATTTTAGGTCAAGCTGTCGTATACTTGTGTTAGCTAGCCTTGTCGGGCTAAAAATGCATGTCTAAATTGAGTTTTTTGCCTGGCTGAGCTATGGTTCAAAATATGTTTTGGTTTATGGCAGAGTTGACTTGTAGGCCTAGTTGATATTTCTTCTTTACCTTCATGAAAAACAAACACGATTGTAAAAGTCTTAACGGAAACAAATATCTCGTACAACTCAATTAATAACCAAAAATGAAAAAAGGTCGCTTATAAATTTGTTTAATTGACACCAAGAAAACATATAATGAGATGTTTTCCCTTAGCAATTGTGACCACATTGGTAATAATATGTGTTTATGACCACATCAGTTAAATTGACCACCCAAAGGACTCCATTTGTCAGTAAAAGCTGCAGTTCTCCGTGAAGGAATCAAAAGTGCTATGACTATTGAGTGCAATATAAGGAACGATTTGGTAGTGATTAGCTCTATGAACTAAGTTTGACAAATCCTTTGTGAGATTAATGGGCTAATTGTGGATGCAAGGAAAGACCTTACATACTTCAACTCGGTCCTGGTTACTCACCAGGAGACTAATCAAGCGGCAGGCTTCTTAGCGGCGAATGGGAGCTACTGTAACACTTTTGTCGCTTTAGTTTTCATCTTTTGACCTCTCCTTCTCCCTTATACCATCCATAAGCATGAGTTAGATTCATCATTTCATATAGCTTAACCTAGATTTTCTTTCCTTACACCAAAAAAATAAAATAAAAAAATAAATATTGCAAATCATAATTCATATTCTCTTTCAACAAATAGTTTATGTCAAGCACATTGACTCTCTTTAAACAATTATTTTGACAGCTACCTCGATCTAATAATTTATTAGAAAACCGCTAATATAAACTTTAATCTACCTACACAGTTACCATATTCATATACAAATACTATTCATTAACGACAACTAATTTTACCGAATATGGGCGTGTTCGACGTTAGCTTTTGAGTAGCTTTTAGGTAGCTTTTAGTGGTTTGACCAACTCAACAAAAAATGTGAGTGTTTGACAAAGTAGTGGTTAGGGTAGCTTTTAGTGGTGGAGGTAGCTTTTGTGAAAAGTTAGAAACATTAGCTTTTGAAATTAGAGGTAGCTTTTCAAGTAGCTGTTGAAAATTTAATCTATAGTTTTAAAAATAAAAAATTGATTTTTATATGTAACAGCTAGTCAAACACTACTTTACCGAACACTCATATCTAAATTATTTATCTTCACAGCTAACAGCTTGTTGACAGCTAACAACTACCTCCACAGCTACAGCTACCTTCACAGCTATATTTTACCGAACACGTACCTTCACAACTATATTTTGTCGAACATGGATGGATGAAATCATCAAATTTAATTGAACAATGCCTACATAGATTTAACAAAATTCCACTTTCCACAATTCCAAATATTTGGGCAACATTTAGACACATGGAGCAATATCCATAACCCTTAATACACTGCCAAATTTCCTTATTCTTCCAAACAACCGACTTACAAATATCTTCTTCTATAGCCACCCAAAAACCCCCAATTTCTCTCCTCCACTCTTCTTTCCACCATTTTTCAATCAACAAACATAATCTTTCACAAACCCTAATTCCTAAAAATGTTGCGTCAAACTTGCAAGAAGATCCTAGCGAACACCCAATTGCAGCCCCAGCTGCGCGCATCATCGTTGGGAATCGCGCGCCATTACCATGAAAGGGTTGTCGATCACTACAACAACCCTAGAAATGTTGGGTCTTTCGATAATAGCGACCCAGATGTTGGAACGGGTCTTGTTGGTGCTCCTGCTTGTGGGGATGTTATGAAGCTTCAAATTAGGGTTGATGATAAAACTGGGAAGATTGTTGATGCTCGTTTTAAGACCTTTGGTTGTGGTTCTGCTATTGCTTCTTCTTCTGTTGGTATGTTCAATTTCATGATTTGGGTGTTTTAATTTTTTTCATTTGAGCTGATTTGTGTTGAATTTTTTGGGAGTTTTGTTTAATTAGCTTGATTAATGTGCGTTTTTATTTTTATTATTTAGTTTTATACTTTATTGTTTATAATGTTATATACAAGGATTGATTTTATGCTAGTTATTGACTTACTGTAGATTTAGCTTATTTGAGATTCAATTAGATATATGGTTTGTTGTGTTGAATTGTGTTCTAGGGTTTTGGCAAGGGATATACTTATCATTTGTAATTGGTAATCCTTATACTAATGGTTTCTTATTTCATAATTTTTGGGGTTTGAATTTGTAAATCGATGTCGTGTTGATCTGGTTTTCATAGCTATTCCCCATGGATTTACTCTGTAGTAGTAGATTTCCTGTGGAAGTTTGTCTTGATTTGTTAGCTAGTTTGACATAGAATTTTATTATGGGGATTGAAATTTAGGTTTGTCAGGTGACTTTCTTAGAGATCTTACTCTCGTAGTGATTTGTTAGGTTTGGGAGATTTTCTGTGGAAGTTCCTTGCAATTTGTTAGCTAGTTAGACATTGAATTTTGCGAGCCTTTAAATTTAGGTTTGTGAGGCGACTTTTTTAGCTCTTAATCTCTTAGTGATTTATGAAGATATCTAATTATTTAGCGTGGTTATTGCTTGACAATTGCTATATTTGCCAACCAACCATTGCACATATCTTCCTTCATTATTTCCTTTTAAGACATGTTGAACCAAAGAGGAAATAGTGCTCTATGTTGTGTCATATACACAATTAAGAGAACCAGCTAGCTCTGTCTTAACTCTTGAGTGGCATTTCACCCTTAATAATCAGCCACAACTACATGAATTTGTAGCAAATAGCACTTTAGGAGTTAGGATGGCATAATATCAAAGTTGAGGGAAGGTTAGATGGCAAAGAGTGGACATCAAGGTGTCAAGCCTTCTCGTTTATGTAAACTCTTGGACAATATCCCTATTTTTACAGAGACAATATCCCTATTTTAATCTGTTTCGGTTCATGGCAAATAGGGACAATCCCTAATTTAATCTCATTGATGGCAAATAGGGACAATATCCCTAAGGACTGGATTCTGGAGATAGTGTTAGATGCTACAGAATTTTTTATAAGTCTATCACTTGAGGATTGCTCATTGATCGTAAAACAATTGAGCAGCTAGTAGTCATGAACATTAATGTATAAGTATTTTAGGGCTTGCTCAGTTTGTTTTGTGGATTGAAGATGGATTTTTTTTATTATCACACTCATGGGCACTGATCTAGTTGCTTTGTGCTGTTGTGCATGCCCTTATTTGTTAAGAAGAGCTTAATCTAGGGCAGATGTTGAGTTGTCCTTGTCCCTACAGTCTACAGATGCTATATATAAAAAGATGTTGTAGTGGGTTTTGTATGCCATGATTTATTGATAGAGATGCTCATGTCTGAGCTTGCAGTTGAATATGTGATGTGCTAGGATTTAATTATTTAGAAATGTCCTGGAGGAACCCACATAGGCTGATTTACTACATCCATAGCTTTATGAGAAGTTAGAATGTTGGAGAGTTATGCTTGGATACTTCAAAATGCAAGGTAATCTTCAAAAGTTGGAATTTTGCAAAATTTACGCTTTTAGCTAGTTGATAATTACTCTGAAAGTCTGAATTTCAAGGCTTGATTGGGACATATCTTTGCTAAGGATATAATATTGTATACTTTGGTCGTACTCTTATATTAATGTGGATTTTAAAGTTTGAAACTACCTAAGCAGCCTTAGACCTAGGAATTTGTTACTCTGGAGTTTATCTTTTTGCTGTTTGTAGTCTATGTTACCTTGCTATTGAGAAATGGATAGAAAATTAGAGGGTTATAAATCTTATAATAGTGGGTGCGTTTGGCACCATCCTCCTTGCTTGTCATCTTAGTTAAAAGAGGCATTATTGTATCTGTCAGGCTGTCCTTTATATTTGAGGTCTAATATCTTCTGAATATGTATGTTGAGAGTTGTAATGGTTTTGTAGAGAAGGCTCAAATGCATTGAGCTTCAGGTGGATTAAGAAGCTAGAGTTTTAGAGGCAATTTTTCCCTTAAATGCTGCCTTATTTTGCTGATGCTATATATTTTTATTTATTTATTTTTTTTTTTATTTTTTTTTTTGCAATTATTGAATTTTTTTTCTCCTGTGAGCATGAGTTGCTGTTCCAAAGTCTATTTGCTTTATTAATTAATTATGTGTCTTATGGAGCTTGACAAGTCGTTTGCATCTATATAAAAAATTTCTGACTGGTGACTTGTTTTGTCTCTTTTTCATCAGCTACTGAGTGGGTCAAAGGGCAACAGATGGAGGATGTGGTGTCAATAAAAAACACGTAAGTTACGCTCTTGGTCTTATGTATTTATTATGATCATATTAGACTTGTCTTATGTAGAGTATTATCTGCTTATCGGCTGTACTTGTGTGGAGTGAAACCCTTTTTTCCCTTTTGGGTGGCTGACGTTGGGGGTAAAAGTTTGGACTTGGCTCTTCTTTTCATTCTTTTGTACCACTTCAAGTCAGTATTCGGCACCTCAAATCCATCATATAAGCATTACAATTTTCACTGTCCCAAATATAATATATAAGCATTACAATTTTCACTGTCCCAAATATAATAGATGACCTATTGTGATGGCTATCTACTGTGATGGTGTGATACATAAAAGTCCATCATTAAGAATTTCCAATCTTGGATTAAGATGTTTCTGACCCAAATGTTAAAGTAAACTGTCGTTTATTCCCCTCACCCCCTTGAAGTAGTAAGCTAGTATGCCTTGGACTTTGGAAAAGCCTCTGGCAGGTCCTGTTCATAGATGTGTAATGGCTGTGATGAGTGTAATATTAATATGCCAGGTTTGTGGTGTTTTTACTGCAATTTCATAGCATATGTATGCTGCGGAATAACAATTCGATAAGTTATGCTTATATTTTTCGAAGAATAACATCTACTTGTGTATAACTTGGCATGCTAGAAAACATCGTTGATAAATCAAGACCTTTTAGTGAAGTTTTCCATGTAGCCTGAACATGCAATCATATGTCATGACTAGGCCCCATATGTAAAATACAACGTAATGCAACATTTGCCTAATTTTCTATGTATGGGTTATTGTGAATTCAGTTTGTTGATCTACAATTATATGTTGTGGTTTTGTGGATATGTCTACTAATTAAAATGGATGTTTACAGGGAAATTGCAAAACATTTGTCTCTCCCACCAGTGAAATTGCATTGCAGTATGCTTGCTGAAGACGCAATCAAAGCAGCAGTTAAAGACTACACAGCAAAGCGTGCAAAGTTGAATGGTAGCAGCACAGAGGCTGCATCCAGCGAGAAGGCCGCTGAGGCTTGAAGTGGATGCATGCACCTCAGAGTTACTGATAGAGTGCTAGTATAATATGATTACCACCTTGTACTAATAAATGGTTGTACCAGCATTAGTTGGGTATACTTTGGGCATAGTTGTCTTCAAGACTTGAACTGTTTACCTTACGCCTATGTAAATTAACTTTGCTGTCACTGATTGTCTTGTCCAAAGTTTTTTTGTTTTCACTTTTGATGATAATGAAGAAAAACACATTTGGAACTGAAGATTTGTATCATTGTGAGAGTTGCTTGTGTGATGTTTGAATAACCTGCAACATGAAATAACTTTGTAAGTGGATCTTGTATTGTGCTTGGCATTTTATTTATCTGTCTACGTTGGGCGTAGCGGCACTCCAAAATTCAGGATTTGCTGTTAACCTGGTATGGTTAGCCTCTTGGTGATCTTTTCATACAAGCTGTGAAGATTGCTATTGCTGGAATTCAATCAAATATCCCCTTTTGGTGTTTCAATATTATTGTTGGTGCACAAGATTTATGTCATTTATATGTCATAAATTATAATTCCTATGTCCACTGTAAATGAGAATTCAGATTTTCCAAGTTCCAAGCTTCCAAGTTCCAACACAAAACTAGTTTTTGTGCCATAATTTTGTAATTTTTTTATATCAAGTATTTTTATAGGCTGAAATATTTTGATTTTTACATTATTTACTTATTCAAACTTTGTTAAGATTCTGTATAAAAATAGACTGGAAGAGAGTTTTATGGAAGATACTAGCAAGAATGATTGTTTGTATATGATCTCCTGAAACCGAGTGGAAGGCTCTAATCACTTGAGCTACTCCTCACTCATGATTGTTTGTATATTGAATTTAAAACATACTTCAATCCTTCACTCCTGAAACATACTTCACTCCTGAAACCGAGTGGAAGTATCTATTGTAAAAAAGAAAAAAAAAAATTTTGAAACATATCACATCTTTGACCCGTGTGAATATTTGGAGAATACACAAATATCATCTTTTACTTGTGTAAAGAATTGAGTAGATCATTTTAATTATGTACTACAAAATATCCCTCTACAAGGATATTATTCCTTTCCATTGACTAGTGTTGTTTGAGGACCATGAGCAAGTTACTAAAAGAATCACATAGACACATTTAAAAAAACAATTAGAGCACCTCCAATGATCAATGGTACAGGTATAATATCTTGTATCTTGGTTTTCATATCAACTTTCAAAACTAATACACTTTTTAGATACGAAGTGCTCCAATGTCATGTCTTAGTATGATCAGAACTCGATCTCACTTAGCCTACTAAATTTTCTCTCCTGTACCATCCCCGACAAGAGTAGCTCGTGACTTACCAGCCACCAACACCGTCAATTGACACCCACTACTAACATCAGAGGGGGATATTCTACCGGGGACATGCCCCCCATAAATTATTGTAATTAATTAATTAATGAACTTAAATAACCTACATTTACTTAAAAAAAATTGGGGAACAAAGATTAGTTTTGAGCAAGTGGTAAACTTTTTAAATTTTGGCCCCTCTAATATTTTCGGAAGATCCGCCACTGACTAACATCATGGTCAACAAGTATCACTACACGTCTACCCTCTATCCCCCTCATAATGCCCGCTCAATCACCACCACAAGCCACATCCATCGACCAACATTTAACCTTTCGATGACCAATTTCTTATATCGTCAACTTATGCAGGCCGTTACACCGGAGGTACGTGACTGTACCTCAATTGAATAATCTATTCTACTCGTACTTCGTATAACATTTGAAAAGTACGTAAAAGGCTACGTACGGGGCTAGAAGAATACAGTAAAAGACTAAAAACATGCAACCTAAATTTAAAACAAAAGATTAAAATTTTCAATTAAGTGACGTATTTACCCTAAAATCTTCATAGTAATTACGTAGTACTCCACTACTCCGTGCTTATTTTCCAATCTCCATCATTATCATTCATCAATAATTTTGACATTACTGTGTACTGTGAAGTCATTGATTTCCGCAGTAAAGTTGGAGACTTTTCTCAATCTAATCTCAAACTCAAACACCCAATTCACCCATTTATTCACAATTCACTTCAATACAATACAATTCAATTCAAAGCCCCATTTTTTCACAATTGGGCAAAAAATTAAGAAATCATCGGATCTTCTTATAATCCATTTTCATCACCAGTGACTAAATCAATACTGTATGAATAAATAATTCATAAAGTTTTGAAATTTGACCCAGATAAAATTATGGGTATTTCTTGAAACAGGACAAAATCTTGAAAGTGTGAATTACCCCAGAAAAATTATTGGTGGGGGTTAGCGGGGAGTTGGGGTTGGTTGGTGATAGAAGAGAGAGAGAGAGAGAGCAAGTTTATTGGGAAACTTACAAGTATAAAATTCAGTGATGGCTGATTTAATCAAAAACCCAGTTGATGGTATAAAACCAGAGATTGAAGATAGAACTTCAACTAAAACTGAGGAGAGAGAAACGGAAATGGCTCCTCCGGCTGCCGGAAGTTCAATTCATCGTTCGGGTTCGAGGCCGCAGCTTGACCTTAGTGGTGCTGCAATTCAAGGCAATTTTGAGGAGAGAGACCCAACTATTTTGCTGCCTAATCAATCTGATGATATTTCTCATTTGGCTTTGGACATTGGAGGTCAATTCTAATGTTTCATTTTGTTGGGAATTATGCCATTTTTGGTTGTTTTTAATGTGGGATTTGATGGTTTGATGTGAAAGTTTGTAAATTTGTGAATTTTTTAAGAAGTTGATGTTTATGGATTTTGAGTTGGTGAGAAATGGTTGTGGGATGTCATAATGATCATTTTTTTGAGTGCAAGCTTCTTTGTAGGATCTTAGTGTGCTTATTGCTCAAGTGCTTCTTGGTGTTGACTGTTGAGCTTAGTTTGTTGTATTGCATGTTAATTAGTTGATGGGAATTGTGATCAGATTACTGTGTAATGTAGGTTGAAGTATGGAGGCCAAATTATACTGCCAATGTAATAATACTAGTTGAAGTGTGTATCATGTATCAAGGATAAGGATATGAACTGGAGTTGTCTCTTGTCTGCATGTATGTGGAATTGTTTGTTTAGTGTGGATAGGTAGTGAGTGGATTTTATCAAGATCTCGCTCGTAGATTAGGTGCATTGTTCTATTTGATATTGTTTGATCTCGCAACCCTTTCCCCAGAACAACATATATGTTGTAACTTGTAAGGGCCTTGATTGAGAGAACCAAGTGAAAGAGAGTTGCATGTATTTCATTTCTTTGGATGGATATCTTTGATAAGTTTAAAGTATTTTGCTCAATTTTTTCATTGTGCTGTATTTCTAAAATTTAGTGTTGATGAATGATGATACTTTGCTTCCTATCACTGCTATATCAAAGGGTTTGCTTTGGGTTGCAACCACCAAAATGAAACCATGGCCAAAGCTTCTTTGCATGAATTTTTAAGCTTATTAATCATAGAATATCTCTATTCAGTTGGATCCTATAGATAGATAAAGTTTGGCTGAATGCTGTCTTCAATTCTTTTCATTGTGATAATTGACATTCCTTTTATTTACTGTTCACTATTCTTGTATTAACTTGATCCTTCTCCATTGCATTTTATCTATTTTGATGTTAAAGGATCTGAATCCAGCTCACTAAAATGACTGATTGGGAATTTAATTTGTTGGTGTGCCAGGATCCCTCATCAAGCTTGTCTATTTTTCAAGACATGAGAATAAATCAGCTGAAGATAAGCGTAAGAGGTCAATGAAGCAGAGATTTGGAATTTCTAATGGTAATAGGAGAAGCTATCCAATACTTGGCGGAAGACTTCATTTTGTAAAGTTTGAAACTGCAAAGATAAATGAGTGTTTGGACTTCATCAAGTCAAAGCAACTACACTGTGGAGGTATCTGATTTTATCAAGCCTGGTTCCCCCCCCCCCTTTTTTTTCCTTTTGTTTTTCTTTGAGTGTGTGTCCTTAACACTGCTGTGGCTCTTTAAATAGCAATGCATGACTTTATATAACTTTTTTTGCTCGTGATTTTGTTGGAGCCCTTGGAGCTGCTGTATTTTTTTTTCACTATGCTCTTTAAGATGTATTAGTTATTATATTAAATGTCTTCCTTATGATGCAGGGATGGTTGCTCGCTGTTGGCCTACTGATGCTTTGTCAAATGAAAATGTTGTAGTCAAGGTAAATGTAGCTTTCGATTTGTCTTCAAAAGTACTCTGTATAAGAACTCACATTAGCTTATTGAGGATGTTGCACCTGTAGATTTGTATGATTCCTTTTTTAAGGATGCTATAAGTGGCTGAGTTGTGGAATTTCTTTGTAACCAAGCCTCAAATATCTTTCTTTTCGTCTTTTATAGATGAATAACAAGATAATTCGATCATCAACAATGATCGGCAATTTATGCTCTTTCATAAACCCTTTTTATTTAAATTACTTCACCTCTTCATGCATCGAATTAGTGATATTTGTATACGAAGTATAATTTTCTATATTTGCTTGCATATGGGTGAAGGCCACAGGAGGTGGAGCATACAAATTTACAGACTTGTTTAAAGATAGACTTGGTGTTAGTCTTGACAAGGAGGATGAGATGGATTGTCTTGTTGCTGGAGCGAATTTTTTGCTCAAGGTGAACATGTAGTTCCTTTTATTTCTGCTGATTCTATAGCTATAAATCTCATTGCCAATGATTTGTATTTATATATAGTATAGACTATATGGGTAATGTGAGCGATAATATTTGTCTTTGCTTATTCTAAATTATTTAGATAATTTGCTGAAATGGCTGGATGGCCTCCCTTGCTCTATGTCAGTGTAACTTATGGTTATTGGACAATGGAGGGACATTATCTAGTCTATAAGCATGTGCATAGCCAGATTGTTCCAATAGAGGGGTAGAAAGAAAAGTAAAGAAAGGAAATCATTCACAGTTTTATGTGAATTTTTTAGATCCAGAACCCATGTCATGGTTACCATCAAATTAGAGTAGTTGATATAAATCTACGGTAAGATACTAAGATATTATAAGGTTTAAAAAAGTATGTAGCTAGTTGTCTCAAGTAGGTTAAGTGCAATTATGTAGTTTCAAGATTTTACTAAATAATTTATGATGTGTTAAACATATTGTTATGATTTGCATACTTATGTTCCTGTTTGTTCAATAAAAAGAAAGGGGTACTTGGCATGCAAGTGTCTATCGGTGCATGATATCCCCTTAACATGTGTAAAATTAGATTCCATCATGATTTTAGGTTTATGAAGATATTTTTTTGTTGAGATAATTGTATTGGATTA